AGTTTTCCGGGCAATATGGCCATGTTCCAGAAGCATTCTCCCCTAACATTTCACACACATCTATGGCAGACATCCTCAGAGGTTTTGAGATCACATCACAACCTCTGAGGATGCCTGTCATGGATGTGAGCAAAACATCAAGAGATAATGCTTCTGGAACATAGCCATACAGCCTGGAAAACTCACAGCAACCCAGTGATTCCGGCCATGAAAACCTTCAGCATTCATAATTCTGTTGGTGGTGCTAGTAGTGGGCAGTTGACATCACTTCTAAGTAATTGAATGTTTTAATTTGATCACCTCTATAAGAATAACTGCATTGTTTAGCAATGAGTTTGGAGTAACAACACTAGACTTACTGTCCCTAGTCCCCACAACTATCCAGAACCACATGAAAAATCCCCAAATGAATCAAATCTCATTTTCATTTCTTGGAGCGGAACGTGTGGTAGGAAATCTCATCACTTTATAAGCTTTCTAATTTACCATAGAACAATTCCGGTGCATTTCAGAGTACTCCCATTGGCTGTGATTCCCCTGGATTTCTTCCTGCTCAAATCAGACTATCAGCAGCATGAATAGTTATGAACGACTCTGTGTGCCAGGGAAACAGGAGGCTTGGGAATAGCAAATGGCCACATTTAGGACTTGGAGACTCGCAGAGCCTGGATTGTTGCCTTTTTGTTGGAGGCTTTTATGCATAAAGGCATAATGGCTTTCAGTGAACGGTGTAGCAAAAGATGTCAATGCCTGTGTGGCAGCCACTCTTCATTTCTAAGAGGTTATTAAAAATTGCATTTATAGCTGTTAGCAAAAATCCTGGAGGACGGCTCACCCCTCCTTAAAATACACTGTATTTATACTGAACCATGAAAAGGCCTTTTACTTGTTTCTTTTTCTGCCTCAATTATCTTCATTAATTTACTTTGCCTGATTAACCTCTGTAGCATAGATGCCCTGCGTGCCACACCTCAGGGGGAGCCCTGGGGCATCCACGGGGGACATTTCGAGGCCCCTAGAGCATCCCCTGAGGTCACATGGTGCACTTCAAAACCAGCTTCTTCAGAAGATAAAATGAAAGGCTATAAGGAAAATTGGAAGTAATAATAATAATAAATAATAATAAACTTTCTGTTGTTGTAGGTTTTTTCGGGCTATATGGTCATGTTCTAAAGGCATTCTCTCCTGACATTTCGCCTGCATCTATGGCAAGCATCCTCAGAGGTTGTGAGGACCTCTCAACCTCTGAGGATGCTTGCCATAGATGTAGGCGAAATGTCAGGAGAAAATGCCTCTAGAACATGGCCATATAGCCCGGAAAAACCTACAACAACCCAGTGATTCCAGCCACGAAAGCCTTCGACAATACAATAATAAACTTTATTTATACCCTGCCACCATCTCCCCAATGGGGACTCGGGGCGGCTAACATGAGAACAAGCCCAAAAATGCAATACAGCGCAATAAAATACAGAATGCAGAAAACAAAAAAATTACATCAGAAAATAGCTACAGTAGCAAAATAAAATAAATAAAGCAAATTAACTCAATATAAAATCGAAAAGGATGGGCAGACCAAATGGACGAGATAAAATGATAAAATGCTGGGTAAGATAGGAATAGAAAATATGGAAGTGAGGGGAGCCCAAGAAGGATAAAACAGTGGGATAAGGCTTTCAGTTTAGGACGGGGGGAAGTGCATCATAGGGGCCACACTATAGATGGAGCAAACAGAAATGGGATAAATGGTCACTCTCCAAAGGCACATTGGAAGAGCCAAGTTTTCAGGTTTTTCTTGAAGGTTGCTAAGGTGGGGGGGTTTGGGGTTCAACCCCCCGTCCAGAAATTTTTCAGGTTAAAAAAACTGGTTTACTCATGAATTTTAACTGGTTAACCAAATCCCCATGCTAAGTCTATGAGATGCAAAAAAATTAAGAGTCCCTCCAGAACTGCAAGCACTATCTCAGCAAATATTGACAATTTATTCACACTGTCATTACTTGCAGCAATTGCCGATGTAGCGAAGCAACCAAGGTGTGTTGAATGCTCTCATTAAGGAGGCCAGACTTGGTGGAGGTGGTTGACAGGGGCGGAGCTGCAGGCTATTGAGGGCTGGGGGGGGGGGGAGGTTGAATGCTCTCATTAAGGAGGCCAGACTTGGTGGAGGTGGTTGACAGGGGCGGAGCTGCAGGCTACTTGAAGGCTGCTCTGCCCCCTGCTGTGCTCTTTGCTTCAGCGTGAAGCTAGGAGGCAGGTTTCAACCCCCCCCCCCCCCCCCCCCCCCCCCCCCCCCCCACCCCCCCCCCCCCCCAACACACACCCCCCCCCCCCCCGAAATTTTCAAACCACCCCCCCCCCCCCATTTTCAACCCCTTCCCCTGAAATTTTCAACCCTCCCCAAAAAAAATTTCTGGTTACGGCCCTGTAAGGAAGGGGCTTGCCTAATCTCACCAGGTAGTGAGTTCCAAAGATGGGGAGCCACAGCGGAGAAGTCTTTCTCCCTTGTTCCCATAAGTCTTGCCTGTGATAGAGGAAGAGGCAAAGGGAGGGCCTCCCCAGAGAATTGGAGAGATCATGCAGGTCACAAAGGTAGGTGAAGGTACTCTGAAATGTTGGCTAATCTAACAAATGGACTAGTAGGGCTTTTGACTGTGGTCACAGCTGGAGCTGTAGAAATTGAAATGGGAGAGCTCTATAGTTCTTGCACTGGAAACTGCCCCCATGGTAGCCAAAGGAGCAAATAAGGGCTCGTTCATGCCAATTTCTGGGAACACAAGGGCTATTGTGTGCCAGCATACCATTACAGCTTCACACATGCAATAACCGACTTCCTCTGTTCTCTCAGTACTGTCATCATAAACCATATGCTTCCATCTAGCCTGTTCATCACCCACCATTCCATGGTTGACACTTTCACACCTCCTACTACAGAATCTTGTTGCCGCAAAGGGCTTAGAAAACAACTTAGCACAGGTTTGGAATGATGAATGGCAGTAATCTTGATATTAAGGAATCAACAATTAATCTATTATACTGGCAGGCAGAGCACTGGCTGAGTGCAAAGGCATATTACGAGGATGGTAAAAACTGAACTTTCCTTCACTCGAGTTTTTCCCCCCTTGGATTTATCTTTACCTGCTTTGGGTGAGTGACGTTTGTTTATAATATCTGCAATACTGTCAGTCCAGGATGCAATACCCTCGGGGCCTTTGCTCACTTGGAATAAATTCACTAGCAAACATTGTCCACTCTCAGCAGTTAGGAAACAATCCAATCTTCCAAAATGGACCCTAGTGACAAAGGTCCATTGCAACGTATATCTCCTTCTGGATTGAACTCGGTTGATTAAAGTTTGGGGACCTTTGTTCAAAAATTGTGTATACCATTGCCAAAAGTATATAACAACAGCTACCTTGGCTTTTAGGAAAAACCAACTTTAATAAGAGAATCAAATACAGTGATACTGTTTGTTAATTGGTTTATTATAACATTTTGCAAGGTCCAGTGCACCAGAATATTGTCAGAGCATGGAGCAACTTGGATTTTTGAGAGGATGTGAATTGGGAAAATAAAGTTCTTGTGTTGGCTGAAATCAGCTGCTACCTCCTTAATCCTGGCCTTAATGGGTAGGCTGGTATTTTAGGCTACCTAACAGGCTCATTATAATGATTACATAAAATTCAAAATAATCTGACGTAAGGGTCAAATCACCACCACAACCAGAAATTGCAAACCAAACGGCACTACTACACGATAACATTCCCAAATTCTTAGGTGGATGCTTGGCACAAGATCAAACTGAAGTCTAAAGCATGTTCTGCTTTTTTAAAATTAATTAAATCATTCATGGTGGACAATGAACTGGATCCACTGTGGCATTCTATTATTAGGAAGGCATGTATATGTGCACTCTGTCTTATGCAGTATACTGGTGTTGTTACTGCTTGTTTACATAGACATCTTCACATGTAGAAATATATAGGAGGGGGAGCAAAAAATCCTTTTGCTCCCTTTACTCTCTCAACCCCCCCCCCCCCTTCTCCTCAGTGCCTTCTCTCTCCTCTGAGCAAATTCCTCCTAACTGCCACAAAAGGGAGCCTGGGTCTTTTCCGTCTCCCTGTTTCCTCTCCCAGCATGATACCTTCTCAAAGGTTCACTGATCTCCGAGACCAGCCTCTGGGGCAGCAGCGGGGGGCTGGCAGAGAGAGAGGGATGTCTCCTTAGACAACTATTTTTGGCTTCTCTTGTGGCAAAGCATCTCTGGGTTCATGTTTTGGAGCATGCATCTCCTGTGGAGAATAAGGGCATGAAAAAGCAAACCTAAGAGGAAGTGTCGTATCCCATTAAAATCCAGTTAGCCGGGATCTCAACTTTCTACGGACAAGCCACACAGACGCCTTACTTTTTCTTCCATCATCTTCCTTAGTCATAGGTTAATTTGACCCAGCTATTCTACCTGTTTAGAAAATGTTCCCGTAAAACAGATACAGGCTGGACTGTGACCCTCCACCCTCCATTTCATTACTTAAGTTACTTTATTAAATTGCTGATTATGAGGACGTGTAAGGAAACAGTGGTAAGGAGAACAGAATGAGCTTGCAATGAACATCGGAACCCAAAACAAACGACTCATATCTGCATTTTCATAGTTGGCATGCCTCTGCCACAGAGAAAGTGGAGTACCTTCTCCATGACTGGCAGGCATTGTTTTTCGAGCCCTTTTCATCCAACTTGGATTAGCCTTGAGTGCCTGCTCTGAAATAATCATCTGTCACTCTGTCAGTCAAACGGCTGTCCAGTGCCCTCCCCCAGCTAAGTTTTTTTCTCAGAAGCTCCCTCTCTTTCTCTCTCTCTCTCTCTCTCTCTCTCATACATACAGAGTATTTCCTCAATGTCTGGTCAGTTCCTCCCCGTGACAACAGGCAATAGGCAAACACATGTGTGGAAGCATTTTCCCCCAGATGTCAGATGACACCACAGAGACAAGACCCTCTACTTACAGTTTTCCTTTGGCTGGGATGGAGTCTATTTAGAGTTGCCAAATTCCAGCGCAAGCAGTCAGCAAGCAGGCGGGCTTGGCATCATCATCCCCCTTCACCCTGCATGATGCTGAGGCTCCGGAACCATTGGAAGTGCGGCAGAGGAGCAAAAGGGAAATGCCTGTGTGCAAAAGGGACGGCAGTTCAATGAACAATCGAGAAATCACTACATGGGGAGGAGAGAGAGAGAGAATGAGAAAAGAAGGAAGGAAAGAAGGAAGGAAGGAACTGAGAAGGGTGGAGTGACAGCTCGGGGTACATCTGTGATGACAGCAGTGCACACATACACACACACACATAGAGGATCATGCATGCATGCATATTCAAACACACTGTCTTACCCACAGTGAAGGAAATGATTCTGACAAACAGGCAGAGTCCATTCTCAGATCGTCTACATCTTCAAAGTCTGGCAGAAGCATCAAAGTCCAGCATTGCCTTCATCTTTTCTTAGAGAAACAGCAGGTGTAGCCGTGGGGTTTAAAGTCCGTTCACCTCTTTTTGAAACAGATCAAGTAGGAGCTGATTATCAGGAGGGGTTTGGACATCATCTTTCCTTCCTTCGTTCCTTTTGTTATGAGGGGAGGAGCAATTCTGCATAATAGCAACTCCAAAGTAAAGAGTGGGGTAATTAGCTTTGTGTCCCTGTTAGTTCCTGAATGTAGTTCCTGAGTTGGGGGGAGCAGCACAAAATTGGTTGGCAGAGCAGAATGGAAGAGCAGCTTCTGGCCTCTCTGGTAACCTGGAAGAGATGAGGCAAACTAATTGTGTGCCAAAGCAGAGACTGAAACACTGGACAAGGGACAATTATACTGACTTCATAGGAAAAGCACCCCTACTATGAAGCTTGAAACCAAATTAGCAAATACTCCTGGAGCAGGAGAGATCTGTGCAATGTAGTTGACGGATGAAGCAGACTCCAGACAGGTAGAAACACTAAATTTGCTGGACATTAGTGGATTAATAAATAAAAACACATTGACCTGCAGTCTAAATGCTACATTCACACTATTCTAGAGTGTCTCCTGAAAAAGCTGAGGCACCTTTGGGTTGTTGTAGGTTTTTTGAGCTATATGGCCATGTTCTAGAAGCATTCTCTCCTGATGTTTCACCTGCATCTCTTGCTATAGATACAGGCAAAACGTCAGGAGAGAATGCTTCTAGAACATGGCCATATAGCCTGTAAAACCTACAACAAGCCAGTGATTCCAGCCATGAAAGCCTTCGACAATACATTGAGGCAGCTTTGTTTGCTTCTTCGTTGTTCACTTTGTTGTGCCTGATTGCTGTGCCTGTACTTTGTGCCCATACAACTGTACCTGCAATCATTTTGCCACTTTAATCTGCCACCTTAGTCTACGTAATCTGCAGCCAGGCTCTTAGTCCAGGAACTTGGCCAGCTGCCTCTTGTTGTATGGCTTGTCGTTTCCTGATTCTTGCATGTTTTCCTCCCTGACTCAGCCACCAGCCCCCTTCCTCTGTCTCCCCTGCCCTTAATTTCCACTCCCCAGGGCTAAATCCTGCAAGAATTACTCTTCATCTTATCAGCTTTAACAGCCTTCCCTCCAACTTCCCCCCTCTCTCTTTTGGGCAGATTGCGTTTGCTTTAGTTGCCTTTTATTATTTTTAGGCTGTCCTGAAGTTACTTTTTAAGCTAAATGGCTCTTGCACATTCAGCAACAATAGGGCAAGGGCTTGGGGAGGAGAGCTGATGGGTAGATATATTTCACTGACAGAAAGGATGAAAGAGATCAGAGGTGTCTTTCTGCTACACCGAGGTGCTCTTTTCTGAAAGGATGCTTTTTAAAAGAATATGGGCAGGCCAGCTGCCTTCACAGTCGAATGAGGGCAAGCATGTAATGAATTCACAGAATGGACTATGCTGTTAATATATAGCCTTGGGTTTGCTGTGCTTATTCAAGTTAGAAAAACAATGTGTGGTTGGAGCACTCTGTAGTCTATTTTCTGACTTGTTCCTTCCCAAGGCTTTAAATAGGTAATAGTTATTAAACCAGATTTTATTTCATATCAAAAGCTGTGCAGGTACAACTGCACCAGGAGCTCCAATTTTGTTTGCTTTGCATTTAATGTTTGTTATAGTCCCAAGTTTCAGGGACTCTGCAGATAGGCGGCTTCTTTTGGCTGCAATCATGGGGCAAGCCACCTGTCAATTATGGTTAGGTTCCCTGGTCCCGCCCCCTTTTGGGTTTTGGTGGGAATAGGAGCCATTTTGAGTTCAGTCCACACAGAGAAGCTTTCCATGCAGGACATAATACCAAGAGCTCCTGTAGAAAGCTTCGTCTTCTACAGCTTGGCCAGGGTTATACAGCCCACAGCTTGGCTGAGGATCATACAGCCCCACAGCTTGGCTGGGGAGATATACAGCCCTGCAGCTCCTTCGCTGAGGGACTTCAGCCAGCCATCACCGAAACCTGAACTCCTTTTCCCTTGGAAGTCTACAAAGCTCTGCTTGGTAAGGGTCACTCGCGGAAGCCAGAAGCAGTTGGTATCAGGTGCAGGGGCTCCACGCCAACAGAGGCAAAGACAGACTGCCCAGATTAGAAGTTAAGGATTTCCCCATTAGTTAAAGTTATGAAGATAGTGCCTGTTCCCTGTGGACAAGATTGAGAGAGAGCCAATAGACTGTTAAGAAAGCCTTAAAGTACCTGTTTGTTTTCATTAATAAAGAACTTTGTTGAACCTTTAAGCAATCTAGAGACTCTGTTTTAAGGAAATCCAAAGGCCTTTAATCTGAGGCAGCCCCGGTGTCCCATTGAGCACACAGAATTTATGTCCTGTCTACAGTTTTATGCACAGGCCCAGCATGTGACAGCACAAAAGCAATTGCATACATTTGTATAAAACTGATAAAAAATAGAAGGAGCATAAGCGGCTAAATATCTTTTGACCAAAAATGGGCAACAGCTGTGCCTGTATTATGTGCCCGTACAACTGTACCTGCAATCACTTTGCCACTTTAATCTGCCATCTTAGTCTGCAGCCAGGCTCTTAGTCCAGGAACTTGGCCAGCTGCCTCTTGTTGTATGGTTTGTCGTTTTCTGATTCCTGCATATGGCATTGCCTGTGGCCTCCAACAATTCTTCCTCTGTACATGAGGCAGGGCATAGTGGACAAGTGTGCCGTTGCGCCTGTGGGCTATAATTCTTAATGAAGGAGGCATGGACGTGGCATCTTTCTCCAGGGGATTGCTTCTTGCCCTCCTATAGGAAACTGGAACTCTCAAAAACCCAAAACGCTGTAAATAACTCAAAATAAGTTTTATTGATCACAAAGAGTTATTTCTTTAAAGCAGGGGTCCACAAACTTTTTAAACAGAGGGCCAGGTCACAATCCCTCAGACTGTTGGCGGGCCGGATTATAATTTGAAAAAACCTATGCACACTGCACATATCTTATTTGTAGTGCAAAAACATTTTAAAACAAGAACAATTTTAACAAATATAAACTTATTAGTATTTCAATTGGAAGTGTGGCCCTGCTTTTGGCTGATGAGATAGGATTGTTGTTGTTGTTGTTGTGCTTTCAAGTAGTTTCAGACTTAGGTTGACCCTGAGCGAGGGCCGGGTAAATGACCTTGGAGGGCCGTATCCGGCCCCCGGGCCTTAGTTTGAGGACCCCTGCTTTAAAGCAATGAGCTGGAAACTTCAGAGGGGTGAAGGAAAATATACGTTACAGTCTCAGTTAGTCCTGGGTCCAAGGTGTTTGAAGCTGAGAAGCCTTTCCAAGTTTCCTCTTTCCTCAATGGCTGTGAATGCCGGAGCAAACCACAACCCCAATTCAGATGGCCTATGTTTGAAGACTCGGGATCTTCCTCTGGTGCCAAAAGAACCAGTTTGAAGGCGCTTGAGACTTCCAACGTCGTTCAGGTTGGTCTGAACATGAAGCACAAGTCTCAAGGATAAAAAACCTCAGAACTGGTGCTGAGAGGTAATTTAAATCAGGGTCTTTTAGAGTCAAGTCTCTTACTCACGTCCATCTGGTAGAAACTCTGATGGCAGAATGAAAAGAAAGGAAACACTCCCCTCCTGCAGGAAGAGGTGGAGCCAAACAGTACTGATTGACAGCTATAAGTGACCAATCCATACAACTATACATAAGCAGGGTAAAAAAAGGCAGGATTAAGCATGATACAACAGTTTAAATCTTGCAACTAACAGTTCTACACATAGGTGGCGCCACTTGCGCCGTCACAACAAGCATATAGATGCAGAGTTGTCTGTTCTGCTCCATGGTCACATAAGATGGAGAATTATTTTAGGAAGTGCCATTTTGCCAGGTTGTCTTTTGATCTGCCTACTCAATTTCTGAATCTGTTCAGGGACTTCCATGTTGCCCATTCTTGGTTTGCCCCTGGAGGCAGATCCTCGTGGGGGGGCATCCAATTGGGATTTCCTGGTTTAGCTGCCCAGAGGGATACTCTTGCTGTTGCTGGGGAAACATTAAGAAGAGTGGTGGTTCTCATGAAGCTTTTCCTTGATTTGAGTCTACTGGGAGGAGGCTGATAGCCAAACAGTGGGTGGCGTTCACAGTGTTCAACCTTATTTCTCTCGCAGTTAGCAGCAACTTCCCATCGCACATCAGAGGTGGGGGGGGGGGGCAATACCTGCTAGCTTGTAGAGTTTATCAACAGGTTAAACCAGTCAAAATAAATGATTTTTAAAATGCCCTGTTAAACTGCAATTATTACTTTATAAAGTTGTAGCCTGAATGAGAATCCTTTGTAGTATTTCAAAAATGGAGAAGAACTAAAAGTCTTATGAAATAGAACATTATTCTGTCTCAAAAAGATAGAATGGAAAAACAAAAGTGTCTAGCCTAGTAAGAAGCCGGTGAAATGATGGGCAATGTCTATGCCATAAACCATATGGAATGAGAACATAGTTTAGTGATAGAAACTGAAAGACAATTGTGCAAACTTGCTTAAGTCTGAGTGAATGTGGACCTTTGCAATATATCATTAGTAGGGTTATCATATAAGATCAAAGAATAAACTAGAGTTGTGTGATGTCTTGCTGATTTTTCTCTTCTCTTTCTGTTTCCATTTCTTCACATACATTCACCTTTTATTTGGAGAAATATATTAGAAGCTCTTAATAAGTATGTGACTGCTAAGCCAAGATTCAGTGGAATAGTTCCCGGTAGCTTCTTGTGCACCCCTTAAATGGACCTGGCTGTGATGAGGGGAATGGTCCCTATTTGAAATTGTTTCAGTATATAACAGGGGATTTAATGTATTGTCGAAGGCTTTCATGGACAGAATCACTGGGTTGTTGTAGGTTTTTCAGGGTTATATGGCCATGTTCTAGAAGCATTTTCTCCTGACGTTTCCCCTTCATCTAGGGCAGGCATCCTCAGAGGTTGTGAGACCTCATAGATGCAGGCAAAATATCAGGAGGGAATGCTTCTAGAACATGGCCATATAACCTGAAAAACCTACAACACCATAAGGGGTTTACTTTGTATATCATACCCTCCCACTGCCCCAGTTTGACAGAAACAGTCTTGATTAATCTTTTGACATCCCACTTGTTTATATGCCTTTAAAATGTTCCAGTTTCTTTTTCCTCCTCCTTCTTTGTTCCAAGCTTATTTTAATTATTACGAATATTTATTTATTTATTTATTTTATATACTCAATCCCTAGGGGGACTCAAAGTGGTTCACAACAAAGCAAATGGCAAAATTCATTGCCTCACAATATAATAGAGTTCAAAATGCAGAAATGGGTTGCACTCATTTCACTCAGTGATGAGAGAAGGCAGGAGTAGAGTCATGTCATACAAAGGAAACCAAATCAACACCCTGCAATTTAATTTGCAGTGCATAATGTGCGCCTCTTACACATGCATAAACTTGTACTATAGAGATGGCAGGAAAATATTTCCTATAGTTATCTCCACTTTCAGCGAGACTCACCAGCTTCATCCCAGAGGGAGTTGGGAGGGTCGTACTCTATCTTTGCTGAACGCTGCTTAGCACTCAAACTAAGATTGCCTTTTATTATCTGCTAAGATTCCTAGTGCATCCCCAGAGCAACTCAATTAATATTTAGCGAAGAGTGCCTTGGCAAAATTCAGTTCTATCTGTTCAGCTTCCATTATGTCCTTAGAACTTAGATCCAGATGAATCTTGTGTCTTGTCTTGTTGTGCATGTTCTGGAGTTCAGGAAGAAGGCAGCTGTAGGAAGTAATCCCTTCCCCATTTCACAGCAGTCAGATTCATTTTATAATAAGGATGCTCTAAGATGTACCAGCAGTAGAAACATGACATGAAGGACACTGACACCATGGCTTTAAGAGTAGGAATGATGTATTATGCCCCAGATCCCAGCTGCCAGGCTCAATGGCAACATAGCACGGAATTAAGATTTATCTGTGGTTTCTTTCCCTCTTTCTGAGTACTGTGGGACCAACTATTCAAATCAAGTGCATGTTAAATCTCAATATATCACTGGGATATTGTATCACTTTTTAATTAACTTTTAGTCTACTTAGCTAAGTAGCAGAGACACCAAGTGACATTGATAGTGAAATGCAAAGATGCATATTGGGGCACTGGCAAGAGATACTGATGTACATCAGTTTCACTGTGGATTGGTCACTGTGCCTGTTCTGCTGTGTAGTAAAGTAACAGCAGCCCTGTAAGGGATACACACCTTATGAAACTGTCCAGTTCGTATTTCTGCATATTTAAGTCCACTTATGCAGGCATAACTTATATACAGGATGTTGTTGTTCATTCGTTCAGTCGTCTCCGACTCTTCGTGACCTCATGGACCAGCCCACGCCAGAGCTCCCTGTCAGCCGTCACCACCCCCAGCTCCTTCAAGGTCAGTCCAGTCACTTCAAGGATGCCATCCATCCATCCTGCCCTTGGTCGGCCCCTCTTCCTTTTGCCTTCCACTTTCCCCAGCATAATTGTCTTCTCTAGGCTTATATATACAGGATACTAGCCTATATTTTTAACAACAAACACCAGATTGTGTATTAGATTTGACATATAAGCACTGCCCCAGAAGTCTGATGCAGGACATGATTACCCATGCTGTTCAGTATTACTTCAACACTTGGGTGCAACCTTAAATTCCCTTTTCAAAGCAAAAAGGCCCTTCTCCATAGCCCAGCAACTGTAGCTCATGTCCAGCTCCCCCTTTCCTTCTTAACCTAATCAGGAAATACAGCCCACTGGTTATTTGTGTTCCTTGAAAGCAGCATTCTTATATCAAAGACTTGGAAAGACTAATGCAGTCTCATAGTTGAGAGGTCTAGCTGTTGTTTCAAGCTAAGTTCAGGAAAGCAGGAGGCACTAGAGATCTTACTGCAAATCTAGGCCGAACAATGGAGTCCACCAAAGAAGTCAAAAGACAATCAGCTTATGCTTTATAGCATAACAAAGCCTCTGATTTTGTAGATCAAGAGAAAGTGTGGATTGCTTTTAAAGCAATGTAAAGAAACAGAATAGTTTCCAGTTGGCAAAGGGATCAGGCAAGGCTATGTTTTATCACTGAGTACAAGCGATACAGAGATACCATGAACCTGCAAGTATAGTTATCCCACTGTTTCCACAGAATCTGTGTACACAGATTTAACCATCTATGGAGTGATAATATCCCAAAATAAATTAATAAAAGGAAATTTTGATTTTGCCCTTCTACTTATGTGCTGGCATGGCAGTGCCAGGAGATTTGAATTTCTTTTTCTTGCACTGCTAGTTTGTATGAATTTATTTAGCCATGCATTTTGCAATCAGGTAGCTTCCCCAGTTTGCAGTCATAGGGCCAGCAACCTGGCTATCATTTTAGACCCGCCCCTTTTCCCAGGTTTTTGGAGGTAAAGGAGGACTTTTGTTCAATCTCACTGTTCAAAACCTAACAGCAGGACGTGTGGGTTTCTCTATCCCACCTGCACAAAGGCTTCACTTCTCACAGCTCTGCTGGGGGAGTAAAGGAATTTCCACAGCTTTTGCTAGGGGTAATACAGCCAGCCTTTGCTGGGGCAACAGGACAGTTTCTATAGCCTTTGTGGAGTAATCTAACGGACACCTTTCAGCTTGGCAGATCTACAGAAATCTTGTCTGGTAAGGGACCACTCGGGCTATCCATAAAGTAGCTTGGAGCCGGGAGTAGGGGCCTCACGCCAGCAAGGTAAAGAAAGATTACCCAGGGAGGGGTCAGAAGATTTCCCTAAGGAAGAAAGGAACAGTTTACCACCAGTTGCCTGTCCTTGATAGCAGATTGAGGAAGCTACCCGTTTTCCATGGTTATAAAGTATTTAATTCATTTGTTTGAAGATTTAAGCCCAAATAAAGAACTTTGTTGAACTTATTTTGAGCCTCAATAGAACTTTGTGTTGGGAAATCTAAGAGGTCCTTCAACTGAGGCACCCCGGCGTCCCGTTGGGCATACAGAAGGCACGTCCTGTAAACAGACATTATTTCATGCCCAGCATGCGACAGCACAACTTAAGAAACACAATTTTACAACTTTATATATAAGGAGCATCCATGTATTTTGGGATCCATAGGGAGTCCTGGAATCAAACTCAGCAGATCCTAAGGGTTCACATTAGTTGTACACTAGCCTTCCTTATCTAAGTGAAAAAGATGTTATACAAGGTAAAGAAAAGAGGACCAAATACTCAAGAGGCCAAGTCAGTGAGGGAAAACCATCCAGTTTAGGGATTTATAGATTCAAAAAGTCTGCTAAGCAGACTTGTAAAAGTGTATAGAATTATATGTGGTGTCCAGATAATGGATGGAGAAAATACTTCATAATTGTGAAGTCTGAGGCCACCCAATGAGGCAAAATGGTGTGAAGTTTAGGGCAGACAAAAGGAAGCACTTTTTTACATGGCATGCCATCCAGCTTTTTCAGTTTTGAATCAGGCTTATATCTGGTGGCTTTTATTATCTTCTTCACCAATCAAAGGGGGAACCATTTTCACAGTGTTTGGTGTTCAGTGGGAGGCAAGTGTCAGTATTTCAGCACAACAGTTGACACTTGCATTTCCATTACCTTGTTAAACCCCTGACTCTCACTTTATGGGCTGATTTAGCACTTTCCTGTCATTTACACTGGGAAATAGTGTGATTTCTTTTGGTTGCTCCATAGAAATATTTATTTCCTGTTTCTATCACACATCTATTTTTTTTTCTGTAACCCTTCCCTCCTTGTTTTGTTTCCTCCAAGCTGTGGGCGTGCAAATTAAGCGGGAATTACTCCAACGCAAGTTGTGGATGACTGCACAGCAGGTAAGAAAGCTGATATTTATGCTGAGGCACTGTATAAAACAGAGAGGCCTATTTCCCTTGGCTAGTCTCACAAATTGTGTGTTGATATAGTTTGGGACAGATGTTGTTTTTTTTTTCTTTGCCACATTCCCACAAGAATCGTTGTGGAATACGTATTAAACAGATTTGTGCACTAGATTAGTTTTTAAATTACACATTTTGCTAATCCTTTGACAACTTTAATGCTGTATCAGCTGCCAGTTTGTTCTGAGAATATCATGTTAACTGTCACAAGCTTGGTGTGGCATTAAATCCACTGGAGCTGACACATTTAATTGTGGAATTATGCCTGTACCAGTTCAGGCATCCAAAATCCTCTTCCTTTTCAGGCAGGGTGTGTATACCTGTTCCCTTCTACTATCTTGATTGCACTGTGCTACATTACTCTTCTTTTGCTTAATTTAGATAGCTAATCTTTTTCTCCCATATAATTTTCATTAGCCTTAATTCAAAAGATTCGCAGTGACACAATCCAGTGTTATTGTAGTGCATTTTGGAGTGTTTTTATACCAGTGATTGCTCAACTTGGAATTTACTTTTCCTTGTTTACATTTAAGATACTGAAGCCCATTTAAATTCAAGACCAAGAAAAAGTGCTTGACTACGTAGATGCAGCTGTCAGGATTCTAGTGCGCTGCATTGTAAACAAGCCTTGAATATCATAGCCTGACACAAAACTTCATATTGAAGGACAGCCAAGATGTGGTGATATATATTTTTGGATACATTTAAAGTGTTGTTTGATAGCTTTCAAAAAGGCCACGGGTGGGCCAATTACACATAGTGGCAAGGATTGTGACCCAGAGAGCCAGGGGATTTACCCTTCTCCTGTCCCACAGCATCCAAGTGATCCAGTGTTTATGTATGTATGCATATAATCTATTTATGTCCTGGCATTGAATGTTTACCATTTGTATGTTGTGCTCTGCTCTGCGTCCCCTTCAGGATGAGAAGGGCATAATATAAATGTTTTAAATAAATAATAATTTTATTTATTTATTTATTTACTGCATTTATATACTGCTTTTCTCCCCCTGAGCAGATGCAAAGTGGTTTCCAACACAATAATGGCAAAAATGCAATGCTGTACATACATGTGACAATAATATGTAACTATAAATTGAAACAACAGACTGGTTCATGATTGGGAAAGGCGTACGGCAGGGTTATATACCTTTCCCCATCCTATTTAACTTGTATGCAGAACACATCATGCTTGAAGAATGCAAGGCTGGAGTTAAAATTGCTGGAAGAAACATTAACAACCTTAGATATACAGATGACACCACTTTGATGGCCAAAAGTGAGAAGGAGCTGAGGAGCCTTCTAATAAAGGTGAAAGAAGAAAGCGCAAAAGCTGGGTTGCAGTTAATCATCAAAAAAACCAAGATTATGGCAACAAGAATGATTTACAATTGGGAAATAGAGGGAGAAAACGTGGAGGCAGTGACAGACTTTGTATTTCTAGGTGCAAAGATTACTGCAGACGCAGACTGCAGTCAGGAAAGCAGGAGACGCTTACTTCTTGGAGAGCAATGACCAATCTTGATAAAATAGTGAAGAGTAGAGACATCACACTGGCAACTAAGATCCGCATAGTTAAAGCAATGGTGTTCCCCATGGTCACCTGCGGATGTGAGAGCTGGACCATAGGTAAGGCTGAGCAAAGGAAGATAGATGCTTTTGAACTGTGGTGTTGGAGGAAAGTGCTGAGAGTGCCTAGGACAGCGAGAAGATCCAGCCAGTCCATACTTCAAGAAATAAAGCTTGACTGCTCATTGGAGGGAAGAATGGTAGAGGCCAAGATGAAGTACTTTGGCCACATCATGAAAAGAAAGGAAAGCTTAGAGAAGAATGATGCTGGGGAAAATGGAAGGAAAAGGGAAGAAGGGTCGACCAAGGGCAAGATGGATGGATGGTATCCTTGAAGTGACTGGATTGACCTTGAAGGAGCTGGGGGTGGCCACGGCCGACAGGGAGCTCTGGCATGGACTGGTCCATAAAGTCACAAAGAGTTGGAAACGACTGAACGAATGAACAACAACAACAACAACATAAATTAAAAAACCTAACCATATTAAACATAAAACATAGAATGACATTTGAGCCTAAACATAAAATTAAAACATTGATAATACAATAACATTTATATTAAAATCCACCTGTTAAACAACATAATTTAAAAACAATAATTAAAATCATGCCATCCAGAATCAAATCCATAGTCGCTCCATTGGTCCGTCTGACTTGGATCGCATCTCCAAGATATCTCATTATGTATATGTGAGTATTTCAAAATCCGAAAAAATCCTAAATGTGGAACCCTTCTGGTCCAAAAGATTTCAGACAAATAATAACTTTTGACCATGATAAAAATTGAAAGTAATAGCTGTGGCAGATGCAACTAAAGTTTAGATGTTGTTCTTGTTACTGATCAACAAACCAAAATACCAATAATGATAGTAAAATATTTAATAATAATAATAATAATAATAATAATAATAATAATAACTTTATTTTTGTATCTCACCTCCATCTCTCTAAGGGAACTCGGGACTGCTTACATGGGAGCAACCATGAACAGACATAAATTAAAAACAAAACGCAATAAAATTTTAAAACAACATCATTGTTGTTGTTCATTCGTTCAGTCGTCTCCGACTCTTCGTGACCTCATGAACCAGCCCACGCCAGAGCTCCCTGTCGGCCGTCACCACCCCCAGCTCCCTCAAGGTCAGTCCAGTCACTTCAAGGATGCCATCCATCCATCTTGCCCTTGGTCGGCCCCTCTTCCTTTTGCCTTCCACTTTCCCCAGCATAATTGTCTTCTCTAGGCTTTCCTGTCTCCTCATGATGTGGCCAAAGTACTTCAACTTTGTCTCTAGTATCCTTCCCTCCAGTGAGCAGTCGGGCTTTATTTCCTGGAGGATGGGCTGGTTGGATCTTCTCGCAGTCCAAGGCACTCTCAGAACTTTCCTCCAACACCACAGCTCAAAAGCATCGATCTTCCTTCGCTCAGCCTTCCCTAAGGTCCAGCTCTCACATCCGTAGGTTACTACAGGGAATACCATGGCTTTGACTAGGCGGATCTTTGTTGCCAGTCTGATGTCTCTACTCTTTACTATTTTATTGAGATTGGACATTGCTCTCCTCCCAAGAAGTAAGCGTCTTCTGATTTCCTGGCCACAGTCTGCATCTGCAGTAATCTTTGCACCTAGAAATACAAAGTCTGTCACGGCCTCCACGGTTTCTCCCTCTATTTTCCAGTTGTCAATCATTCTTGTTGCCATAATCTTGGTTTTTTTTGATGTTTAGCTGCAACCCGGCTTTTGCGCTTTCTTCTTTCACCTTGATTAAAAGGCTCCTCAGCTCCTCCTCGCTTTCGGCCATCAGAGTGGTGTCATCTGCATATCTGAGGTTGTTAATGTTTCTTCCAGCACTTTTCACCCCAGCTTTGCATTCATCCAGCCCCGCACATCGCATGATGTGTTCTGCATACAAGTTAAAAAGGTTGGGTGAGAGGATGCAGCCTTGCCGTACGCCTTTCCCAATCTTGAACCAGTCTGTTGTTCCGTGGTCAGTTCTGACTGTTGCTACTTGGTCCTTGTACTGATTCCTCAGGAGAGAGACAAGGTGGCTTGGGATGCCCATCCCACCAAGAACTTGCCACAATTTATTATGATCCACACAGTCAAAGGCTTTAGAATAGTCAATGAAGCAGAAGTAGATGTTTTTCTGAAACTCCCTGCCTTTCTCCATTATCCAGCGTATATTGGCAATTTGGTCTCTCGTTCCTCTGCCTTTTCTAAACCCAGCTTGAACATCTGGCAACTCTCACTCCATGTATTGCTGGAGTCTTTCTTGCAGGATCTTGAGCATTACCTTACTGGCATGAGAAATAAGGGCCACTGTACGGAAGTTGGAGCAGTCTTTCGCATTTCCCTTTTTTGGTATGGGGATATAAGTTGATTTTTTCCAGTCTGATGGCCATTCTTGTGTTTTCCATATTTGCTGGCATATGGCATGCATCACCTTGACAGCATCATCTTTTAAGATTTTCAACAGTTCAGCTGGGATCCCGTCGTCTCCTGCTGCCTTGTTGTTAGCAATGCTTCTTAAGGCCCATTCAACCTCACTCCTCAGGATGTCTGGTTCTAATTCATTCACCACACCGTCAAAACTATCCTCATTATTATCCTTCCTATACAGATCTTCTGTAGTCTCGCCACCTTCTCTTGATCTCTTCAGCTTCTGTTAGGTCCCTGCCATCTTTGTTTCTTATCATACCAATTTTTGCCTGAAATTTACCTCCAATGTTTCTAATTTTCTGGAAGAGGTCTCTTGTCCTTCCTATTCTGTTGTCTTCTTCCACTTCCATGCATTGCTTATTTAAAAATAGTTCCTTATCTCTTCTGGCTAACCTCTGGAAGTGCGCATTTAACTGGGCATATCTCCCCTTATCCCTGTTTCCTTTTGCTTTCCTCCTTTCTTGGGCTACTTCCAGTGTCTCAGCAGACAACCATTTTGCCTTCTTGGTTTTCTTTTTCTTTGGGACGTACTTTGTTGCCGCCTCCTGAACAATGTCGTCGGACTTCTGTCCATAGTTCTTCTGGGACTCTGTTTACTAAATCTAGTCCTTCAAATCTTTTCTTCACTTCCACTGTATATTCGCTAGGAATGTTAGTGAGATCATATCTAACTGGTCTGTGTATTTTCCCTGATCTCTTTAGTTTTATTCTAAATTGGGCAATAAGAAGTTCGTGATCTGAGCTACAGTCAGCCCCAGGTCTTGTTTTCACCGACTGGATGGATGTCCGCCACCTTTGGCTGCAAAGGATGTAGTCAATCTGATTTCGGTGTTGACTGTCTGGTGAGGTCCATGTGTAAAGCCGTCTTTTAGGTTGTTGGAAGAGAGTATTCGTTATACACAGCGAGTTTTCCTGGCAAAATTCTATCAGCCTGCGTCCCGCTTCATTTTGTTTCCCAGACCATGCTTGCCTGTGATCCCAGTTGTCATTTGACTTCCCACCTTGGCATTCCAGTCTCCTGTAATGAAAATAATGTCTCTTTTTGGTGTATTATCCAGTAGGTCCTGCAGATCCTCATAGAACTGATCTACTTCTGCTTCTTCAGCAGCTGTGGTTGGGGGCGTATATTTGGATCACTGTAATGTTGAAAGGCTTTCCTTGCACTCGAATTGAGATCATTCTGTCATTTTTTGGGTTGTATCCAAGCACCGCTTTAGCGAATTTCTTATTAATTATGAAGGCTACTCCATTTCTTCGATGTTCCTCTTGTCCGCAGTAGTAGATCTGGTGGTCTTCTGATGTGAAGTGGCCCATTCCAGTCCATTTCAGTTCGCTGACCCCCAGAATGTCTATCTTTAGTCTTGACATCTCACCAATAACAACATCCAATTTGCCCTTGCTCATAGATCTTACATTCCAGGTTCCTATGGTGTGTTGATCTTTAGAGCATCGGATTCGTCGTTCACCTCCAGTACCGTCGGCCGCTAGCCTTCCTTTCGGCTTTGAGCTAGCTGCGTCATCACATCTGGGGCTAGTTGAACTTATCCTCTGCTCCTCCCCCGTAGCATTTTGGCCATCTTCCGACCTGGGAGTCCCATCTTCCAATGGCATACTGACATATCTCTGGTTGCACTGGTCCAGACCAAGCGTGATCCCTGGGGAAGGCAATGGCAAACCACTCCAGTATCCTTGCCAAGAAAACTAAATGGACCAGTGCAAACAACATCATAATAACATAAAACAACATCATAAAACAACCAATAGCCTGAACAGTAATAAACACTGGTTTTGGCTATCAGACATATAGACATTGACAAAGTTAAGTAGGAATCCCTATACCATTTTTAATGAAATGAAATCAATCATTTTAATTGAATAAGATTTTGTGGCAGTTATGCAAATTTTGAAAGCAAATGGTATCCCTAACTCATCTAAATTATATAAGAGAACCCAGCAAGTTTTGATTCAAATCCAACAGCATAATATCAAACTGACACAAAATTAGGACATAAATGTGTACACTGTTAATTTTACACAGAATGACGTGTCTAAGTGAACTGAAATCAATACTTTTGTTTGTTATTTCAGTAGAACTCAAACTGGGTAATAGTGGCCTCCTGGTTGTCAACTCTGCACATCATGGATTTTGTCTGTTCCTTATTGCAATTTTGAAAGCCTTGCAATCCTCTGTTATAGTGATAGCTTTTTGTCAGAGAATTGGCAAAAAAAAAAAGCCAATAAGATTTTGGCCTCCATATATAAGTATATCGTGTCTAGATCCAGGGAAGTCATGCTACCCCTTTATTCAGACCACACCTGGAATACTGTGTCCAATTCTGGGCACCACAATTGAAGGGAGATGTTGACAAGCTGGAGGGCGACTAAAATGATCAAGGGTCTCAAGAACAAGCCCAATGAGGAGCGGCTGAAAGAGCTGGGTGTATTAGTATTCAGAAGAGAAGGCTGAAAGGAGACATTACTGTGGTCTCATCTGCCACATAGCCTTTACCTTTTCTTTACCTTGAGACTAACTATTTGTAGTTTCCATGACAATCTTCTCAGCCAGCACGTGGAAAGTCAAGGTACAACATGGTATGAACATAGAGGGAGAATATTGCATTGCTCAACATCAGCTCCCTCTTTGGAGGCTTTTAAACAGAGGCTGGATGTCCATCTGTCGGGGTGCTGTGAATTCAATTTTCCTGCTTCTTGGTAGTGGGTTGGACTGGATGACCCACAAGGTCTCTTCTCTGACTACCGGAAGCTGGTTATAGAGAACCAGGATGTTAATTGATCAGCTCAGTATTGTCTCCAGGATTTCAGGCAGTGATCATTCTTGCTAGAAAGCGGCTGAGGGGGAAAAAGAAAGGGACTAAGACTGTTAGGAATGGTGAGAGTTGAAGTCCAAAACACCCGGAGGGCTGAAGTTTGCTCATCTCTGCATTAGTTGAACTATTTATTCATAACCATCCAAACCCTGCTTACATTACTCCTCCTTCTGTGTAGGAAAGTGACAGGGCTGATGCTGTTAGGAATGGTGGGAGTTGAAGTCCAAAACACCTGGAGGGCCGAAGTTTGCCCATGCCTGATCTAAGGGGAAAATATACTAACTGTATATCACTCTTGAAAACCACAGTTTAGGTATTTATCTTTATAAGCTATCAAATCTGAGTACACGTACGTATGTATACTTATATACTATATAACATTTTGCTTTGGGTGATGGTTAAACGGTGTTTTGTTCATGCTTCAGTCCTTCTATGGAATCTTTGTGGTTCATGTGTAAGAAGCATGAATGTCCCTGTACTCACTTGCACTCAGTAGTGATTCAACAAGGAGTGATTAATACACATGTTTCTCTCCCCCCACCCCCAATTTCTCTTCTATGTGCTCTGTATGCTGATGCTTCTTCACTTTATCATCTTCCAGCCCAATGATACTGATGTAAGTAAAGAGCTCTCAAAGTACAAGAGATTTCCCAAATGCCTTTTCTTGTGTGCTTTGATAATCATGTGTCATTTGTGTCAGATGTTAAGTCAAACACATTTCTATGTATAAGTAAATGCAGCCTGGAAAGCAGAACAAGTATCAGAAGACATGGAAAGTTGTGAGCCCAAGAAAGTGTGTTGGATCCAAATTTAAAGCAGTGTAATTGTCTTCATTTACTCCTTTCATGCCAGTCCTCACTCCCACACCATACAACACAGTTGTGGGTTGTTGTTAAATGGAGCATGCAGACTGTGAAATCCTGAAAATCAAATGGAAGCCTGTCCTTAGAGTATAGGCCTGCAGGGAAGGAGTAAAATAAACCACGTGTAGTTCACATTTGATAAGTCCACACACTGCCTTGCCAGAGAAAGAAAATATGCCACACAGGTGATCAATAAAGAACAAGCAGTTTACTGGGTTGTTGTAGGGTTTTTTTGGGCTATATGGCCATGTTCTAGAGGCATTTTCTCCTGACGTTTCACCTGCATCTATGGCAAGCATCCTCAGAGGTAGTACCTCTGAGGATGCTTGCCATAGATGCAGGCAAAACGTCAGGAGAGAATGCCTCTAGAACATGGCCATATAGCCCAAAAAAACCTACAACTACCAGTGATTCTGGCCATGAATGCCTTCGACAAAGCAGTTTACTCTTCATAATCCAGAACAACATATTTACAAGAATGTGATCAGTTACATTGACTCACATAATGTCCTTTTTGAGAGATTTAAAATAGTCTTTTTTGTCCATGTCGAGAATTTTCCTCCAGCAGTTCATGAAGCAAGAGCACACTCCAAACTCTGTCTCTCCCTGCTTCTCTCTGCTAGCACCTGCACAGCTCAAGCCTGAAAAATCTAACAGTATCCAAAAGTCCCAGGCTCAACCTGCTCCCCAGGCATAGCCTAACCGATCGGCTTTATGCATCTTATTTTACAGTTGACCCACACATACACTAACTCATTTCTTACATGCTCCAACAGGAGTTGCATCATCTTAGTTTTTGGGGGATTGTCCCATTTTCCCATACCATAGTCTGCCTTGATCCTCTATGTAGATCTCTCCCTTTTTACTTCCCTCCATATTTACATTTTGGGGGGGAGGGGGTATTTCCTCTATTCCCAATTTGGTAGGCCAGAGGGGCTGCCATGAGAAGAAGGGGAGGAGAGAGAGGTTTGCTTTCACTAGTTCAGATTTATGTGCCAGTGCCTAAATCTGAATCCAGACCAATGGCTTAAGTCAGGGGTCCTCAAACTAAGGCCCAGGACTGGATACGGCCCTCCAAGGTCATTTACCCGGCCCTCTCTCAGGGTCAACATCAGTCCTATCTCAACATAATCCTATCTCATCAGCCAAAAGCAGACCCGCACTTCCCATTGAAATACAAATAGGTTTATATTTGTTAAAATTGTTCTTCATTTTAATGATTGTATTGTTTTTAAGTGCTTTTTGCACTACACATAAGATATGTGCAGTGTGCATAGGAATTCATTCATATTTTTTTTCAAATTATAATCCAACCCTCCAAGAGTTTGAGGGACCGTGACCTGGCCCTCTGTTTAAAAAGTTTGAGGACCCCTGGCTTAAGTAATGGGGAAAATGTAAAATTCAGAAATGGCTCCAAACCTAAGTTGTTGCATAGAAATAAATGGTAAACTACCACTGCCCTAGAGAGAATGCACATCTGAGCTCACATTCCTATTTGATCATGTCTTACTGCTAACTAGCCTTGCAAATACATTTACAAGAGTGATTTGTGGCACATTAACTGCTTGAATGAAAGAGAAAAAAGAATATATTTCAGCAGCAAAAAAAAACTGCATCTGCCTATTCTCTGGAAGCAGCACTTGTTTTCTTTTGGCAGTTAGGCTTGTGCCTATTCACAGGTATCTAAGACACACACAAAAAAATCAGGGAAGAACAAAGTAATACTTGGATCACTATATACTGCCCTGAGTCGGTATATAACTCATATCTGGGTTCAAGACAAATTAGTATATGGATATTGGAATTCTTTACAGAACAAAAGAAAACACAACATCTATATTGTAGACTTAATGCAATTTTACCCCAGTTGTAGCTCAATTCTAAGGAATCCTGGGAGGTGTAGTTTGGTGAGGGACCAGCACTCTTTGGCAGAGAAGACTGACGACCTTGTAAAACTAAAGCTCCCATAATTCCATTGTATTGAGCCGTGGCAGGAAATGTACTGTATATGACTATATCATTGTGAACCTTTCTATATAATAATAATAATTTGAGGATTTGAAGATCGAACTGCAAAGACTCTAGCACAAGCCAGTATTTATTTATTATTTATTTACACTATTTATATTACACCCTTCTCACCCCGCAGGGGACTCAGGACGGATTACAATGTACACATATATGGCAAACATTCAGTGCCAAAGACACACAACAGATATAGACAGACAGTCAGAGGCTATTTAACTTTTCTGGCCGCCAGGGGAGTTGTCGCTTTCATCATCCATCTGCGACACTGATGAAGTACTTCCGCATTCCCCACATGATTTGCTGGAGTACTTTGTTGGAGTCTTTTTTATGGTCTTGTGAATTAGTTAAATTAGCCTCCCCACACATAGGTGGTACCTAATTTTCCTGCTTGACAGATGCAACTGTCTTTCAGGTTGCAAAGGTCAACAACAAGCTACACAATTAGTCGGAAGCTTACTCTGACCCGGGCTGGCTTTGAACTCATGACCTTTTGGTCAGAAGTGATCTTAATACAGCTGACACTCAGCCAGCTGCGCCACAGTCCTGGTGCTAAAGGTGGTCCCAGTGGTGACTGGCACACTGAGTGCAGTGTCTAAAGACCTTGGCCTACACTTAAACACAATCAGCGCTGACAAAATTACCATCTGTCAGCTGCAAAAGGCCACCTTACTGGAATCTGTGTGCATTATTTGCCGATACATCACAAAGTCCTAGACACTTGGGAAGTGTCCGACGTGTGATTCAATACAATAGCCAGCAGAGTGATCTTGTTTGCTGTGGACTCATTTTGTTGTGTTTCAAATAATGATGATGATGATGATGATATCATAGCAATTAAAGTCGTGTCAAACTGCATTCATTCTGCAGTGTAGATGCACCTTTCTGAATGCACTCTTGTCTTCCAAAAGAACGTCATCTAAGTTGCACTGAATCACTAAGGCTGAAGTTATCTGGACAAGAGCTTCTAAATCTTAGAAAAGATTTAGCTCTTGCTGTTCAGACAAAAGGTCCATATTGTCCAGCAATCTTCTTCCCAATGTCCGTGGGAATCCAATACCATCTCTTCTTGAATCTTAGATTAGATATTGAAGAGTATAAGGCAAAAATTCTTGTTTTATATTCCTGGATTTTAGGGCTAGCATGTCACCTTTTAATCTTTACTCCTTTTGGCATGTACCAGCAGAGGTTTAGGTGCAACTAATCATAAAGAAACACAGCTTGGCTGAGGGAAGCCGCCTTTATACAGAGGTAATTTTGTCCATGTAATACATACGCCGTGCGGTACAAAGCCGCAACACAAAAGGCATTTTTATTAAAATGCACAGATGGGCACAGGAACAGTAAACAGGCTACTGGGAATCTGATTATCACAATCAGATCTTGTCTCCAGGAGATATTTGCATTCCTATTTGACAGGATGGTGCAGTTTAATCAAAAGAACAGGACACAGTAAGTGCTGATTTGAATCTCTATCTAAAATTAGCTTTGTGGATTCCAGAACTTCTTGGTCTAATATACAGTATCAGGACAATAAGCAAGCAGACAACAAGAAGGACAGCTTGGCTTACCCAATGCAAATCAAGGCAATGCCTATGTGAAATGAAAGGCCATTGCAGTATCTGTGCCATTGGGAGCAAAGACCAGGCTGGAGGAACAAATAACTGAGGTTGTTGTGAGTTTTCTGGGCTGTGTGGCCATGTTCCAGAAGTATTCTCTCCTGACATTTTGCCTGCATTTATGGTAGGAATCCTCAGAGGTTGTGAGGCCTGTTGGAAATTAGGAAAATGCAGTTTATATATCTGTAGAATGTCAAGGGTGGGAGAAAGAACTCTTGTCTGTTCAAGGTAGGCGTGAATGTTTCAATTGGCCACCTTAATTAGCATTGAATGGCCTGACAGTTTCAAGATCTGGCTTCTTACTGCCTTTGTTGGGAGGTGATTAGCTGGCCCTGATTGTTGCTTGTCTGGAATTTCCCTATTTTTGAGTGTTGATCTTTATTTACTGTTATGATTTTAGAGTTTTTTTTTAAATACTGGCAGCCAGATTTTGTTTATTTTCATAGTTTATTCCTTTCTGTTGAAATTGTCCACATGCTTGTGGATTTCAATGGCTTCTCTGTGTAGCCTGGCACAGTAGTTGTTAGAGTGATCCAGCATTTCTGTGTTCTGAAATAATATGCTATACCCAGGTTGGTTCATCAAGTGCTCTGCTATGGCTGACTTCGAAACTGGCAGGCCATTAAATGCTAATCAAGATGGCCAATTGAAACATTCACACCTACTTCGAAAAGACAAGAGTTTTTTCTCCCATCTTGAACATTTTACAGATATATAAATACAATTTTCCTAGTTTCCAACAGACCACACAACTTCTGAGGATGCTTGCCATAGATGCAGGCAAAACGTCAGGAGAGAATGCTTCTGGAACATGGCCATACAGCCCAAAAACTTACAACAACCCAATGATTCCAGCCATGAAAGCCTTCGACAATACAAGAAATACCCTGCTAAGAATACTGGACTGGAGCTTGTTCGTTCTTGCTCCCATTTTTTTTAAGACTCTTTAATGTCCCTTTTTTTTTTTTTTTGGTCGTGTCTGGAGTGACTCCTGTTGTGAGAGAATTGGCCGTCTGCAAGGACATTGCCCAGGGGACGGCTGGATGATTTGATGTTTTTATCATCCTTGTGGGAGGCTTCTCTCATGTCCCCGCATGAGGAGCTGGAGCTAATAGAGGGAGCTCATCCGCCTTTCCCCGGATTCGAACCTGCGACCTGTGGGTCTTCAGTCCTGCTGGCACAGGGGTTTAACCCACTGCGCCACCGGGGGCTCCTTTAATGTCCCTGATTTTTGAGGACTGGTAGTTAAATTTTAACTCATTTCTTTCTTGTCTTCCTTCAGTTCACACTTTTGAATTTTTATATTATAACAAACCACTAATAAAATATTTTAAAACTTTTGTCCTGCCCAAAGAAATGAGGGGGGGGGGAGATAAGCTCCATTGTGATTCAGCCACCCACTTTTCTGTATATCTTTGCAACGTAAAAAGAAAGAACAGGCCTGTCTTTTCTGTCTCAGTTGCTGTAAGTCATCTGTATACCATCCCACTAGCTGGCTTGATTGACAGGAATCAGTAGAGAACCAATAGTGGTATTTTTATCAATATAGTCTTCCAAACATTTGAGTCAACCTTATATGCTGTGCTTTCATTTTATTTTTGAAAAACAACATAGCTGATCAGCTTTAAAATGTTTTCTTTCATTACTGTTGTTCCTTTTGAACTGAGAAAAGGGCAGGATTTTAATCAGCTTTTTCATTCTGAAGCCAATACTACTATTGCTCTAGTTTCCGCATAGTAAAGTAACACAAGGATAATTATGAAACACACAAGCGCTGGTAAGATTTTTCTTACCATTTAACCCTTCATACACTATTCAATTCATTGTTTTGGCATATGTCAACATTGGTTTATTGTAAAGCTCCAGCTGAAGCAAATAGGCAGCGCCAGAGGCCATTGTACACTATTCATGTATAATTTGTCACAATGTTACCAGAAAACTAAAAGAAGCCAACAGTGCCACTGCTCCCTCCACTTTTGCTAATGCTGAGCAGGTCTGGTTTTGCCATGTTTACATTCCCAGGAAATTTCTTTGATGCACGGAATATCCCTCGGTCCTTATTGAGCAGCCCACTGAAGTCACAATCAGTTTCCTACCACAAGCATGAAGCTGCTTTCCTAAGACAGTTGCCTCTACTGTTGTTCCAAGAGGAGAGAATAGTTTTTTCCACATCCAACCAGAGAAAAATGATAAAATTCGCTGTATTATTTTTTAGAAAAAAAGATATTAGAAACACACCTAAATGTTTACATATTTCCACTTGGTAAATAGTTACCTGTATTATTTATTTATTTATTTATTTATTTATTTATTTATTTACAGTATTTATATTCCACCCTTCTCACCCTGCAGGGGACTCAGGGCGGATTACAATGTACACATATATGGCAAACATTCAATGCCAAAGACACAAAACAGATATAGACAGACACTCAGAGGCTATTTAACTTTTTCTGGCCGCCAGGGGAGCTGTCGCTTTCATTGTCCATCTGCGACACCGTGAAGTACTTCCGCATTCCTCGCATGCTTTGCTGGAGTCTTTTTTATGGCCTCAAGAAATAAAGCCTGACTGCTCATTGGAAGGAAGAATAATAGAGGCCAAGATGAAGTACTTTGGCCACATCATGAGAAGAAAGGGAAGAGAAGACAATTATGCTGGGGAAAATGGAAGGAAAAAGGAAGAGGGGCCAACCAAGGGCAAGATGGATGGATTGGTATCCTTGAAGTGACTGGATTGACCTTGAAGGAGCTGGGGGTGATGAAGGCCGACAGGGAGCTCTGGCGTGGACTGGTCCATGAAGTCATGAAGAGTCAGAAACGACTGAACGAATGAACAACAACAACTACAAATTAGTTAAATTAGCCTCCCCACACATAGGTGGTACCTAATTTTCCTACTTGACAGATGCAACTGTCTTTCAGGTTGCAAAGGTCGACAACAAGCTACAGAATTGGTCGGAAGCTCACTCCAACCCGGGCTGGCTTCGAACTCATGACCTTTTGGTCAGAAGTGATCTTAATACAGCTGACACTCAGCCAGCTGTGCCACAATCAAGAGTATGAAGTAGCATCATGATAAAAAGGCATTGGTATTTGTGTTTAAAACTGGAGGATTTAGATATTGATTGGCTTTAAGGTATTTACATATGACACAGAGTAGACTTGTCAAGTCAAGAGCATCACATTCTCAGAGATTCTTGTCCTAAATCTGAGACCAAAAGCAGGTCTTTATAAAATCATGAATATCGGTCCTAGATATGTCATAGAAGCAGAGCAGAGAAGGGTTGACACATGGACCAGAACTGCTTCTGGGTAAGCTGATAATGGAAAAAGGGATATATGGGCAGCCTAGGCAAATGGGCATATAATATGGTTAAAACACAGATAATTGTGATTGCGTGGTTTTAATAATGTGTTTTAATCTTAAATGATTGTTCCCTTTGTAAGGCCACTCTGAGTCCCCTTCAGGATTGAGAAGGGTAGGGTCTAAATACTGTAAATAAATAAATAAATAAATAAATAAATAAATAGGTACTATGGCAATACATATTCCCAATAGGGCTGATATACTATGTAACATACATGCCACAGTGCAGGTCACACGTGGAGAGTTTTTCCTCGGCATTGTCTTGGTGCTGATGCTAGTAAAAGTTCAATTGATTTCTCTCAAGTAGTTTTCCCATTGAGCCCTTTGTCACTACTGCCAGAGCTTGAATGACAAGAAATCAAGTGCACATTGGTCCAAATATATACATTCACCGTCTTTTTCCAGGCTTCACTTCTAGTATTTTCATGCAGGAATTTTGAAGAAAAAAAAAGCCAGAGAGCATCTGGTGCCAGCTGAGTTGAGAAGACTTCTGCAGTATTTGTCTTGTAGCTTTACTTAATAGGATCTTCCTTGCAGGGAAAACAATAGGGCATCCTTTCTCAATCTGGCTCCTTCCTGCAGTTTTCATTAACCCCAAGTGAATGAGAAAGGAGCTTTATTTTAACATCTGGAGGAAGCTAGGTTGTCAAGTAAGACTTGTGCACCAGTTGTGCCCATACCTTGGCCATGATGGTCCATGCACTTGTTACATATCCTATAGACTACTGCAACACACTCTATGTGGGGCTGCCTTTGAAGACTGTTTGGAAGCTTCAAGTAGTCCAACAGGTGGCAGCCAGATTGTTCACCGGAGCGGAGTACAGGGAACGCACAACCCTCCTGTTACGCCAGCTCCACTGGCTGCCAGTCTGCTACCAAGAACAATTCAAATGCTGGCTTTAGCCTATAAAGCTCTAAATGGTTCTGGCCCAGCTTACCTGGCCAAAAATATCTCCCTCTATGAACCACCTATGAACCAGAGCCTCTGGGGAGGCTTGGCTCTCAGACCCACCTCCTTCACATGTTCAGTTGGTGGGGATGAGAGACAGTGGTGGCCCCTCAGCTGTGGAACTCCCTTCCCGGTGAAATTAGATCAGCTCCCTTCCTCCTGTCCTTTAGAAAGAAACTGAAAACATGCTATGGTAGCAACCTTTTGGAGAATAGGAGGCCATGAAGTAAGCGTGAAATGATTGGAATGGCTCCTGGATTATGACTTCGGATCTTCTGATTTTAATGTATTAATATGATATGACTTTTTACTTTTTGCGGTCGCAGCTTGTGCGCCAACTGCGACCGTACCTCATGAAGTCAGATTTGGCCACAGTGGTCCATGCCTTAGATTGGACTATTGCAATGCGCTCTACGTGGGGCTGCCCTTGAAGACAGCCCGGAAATTTCAATTGGTCCAACGGGTGGCAGCCAGATTAATAATTGGTGCGAATTACAGAGAGCAGTCAACCCTCCTGTTTAAGGAGCTCCACTGGCTGCCATTTATTTTCCGGACCCAATTTAAGGTGCAGGTTTTGACCTACAAAGCCCTGAATGGTTTGGGACCTGCCTACCTGCGCGACCACATTTCCGTCTACGTCTACCCACATGATCTCAAGTGCATCGCAAGTGCGACTGGTGGGGATGAGAGAGAGGGCCTTCTCTGTGGCGGCCCCCCCAGCTCTGGAATTCACTTCTGAGAGATATTAGGCAAACCCCCACGCTGGCAATCTTCAGGAGGAACCTGAAAACCTGGTTATTCCAATGTGCCTTCCATGATTGAATGTAAGACACTCCCTGACCAAATTTTGCATAAAATTACCTCAGAAGCAATTAAATCCTTCCTCATCCCGGATCCCCTTTCCTGAAAATTTACACTGCCCAATCTCCCAGTGTTTTAAAATTTTATCCTTGAATTTGGTGCTGCCCAGTGAAATCTTGTGTGTTTAATGTTTGTTTTTATATTGTTCTGTTGTTTATTATATTGGTTTTGCATTCTATGTTTTTATTTTTTTATTTTTTATGCTTTTGTATTATTTGTGTTCACTATACTGATGGGCGTGGCCTCATGTAAGCTGCCCCGAGTATCCCTGGGGGAGATGGAGCGGGGTATAAATAAATTATTGTTGTTGTTGTTGTTGTTGTTGTTGATGATTTTAATGTATGTGTATATTTTATTTGTATGTTTTGTTTGCATGGCATTGAGTATTGCCAGTTTGGTAGATGCTTTGAGTCCCCTTCAGGGTGAGATAGAGTAGGTAGAAATATAGTAAATAAATAAATAAGCACTGCATCCAGAATGTAACTTGCCTACCTGAGTTATATCAATAACAGATCTACTTCCTAATACCTATAGAAGTGCTTAGTGTTCAGGTAAATGCAATTTCAAATGATAACAGTATTTATTTTCTCTTCTCTTCTAGTGTAGTGGTGTGGAGGGTCTCTGTCCCATGAACTGTCAAGATGATGTAAGTTGCTAGGATTTTAACATTTTTTTCCAGATAAATATTTCAGTGGTCAAGGGCTATAATGTATATAGTTTTTTTTTCATTTGATTACATCAGAAACAAGAACACTTTTATCTGTTGTTGGATTTTGCTTGATTTTCTGGCTTTTATTTTATGTTTAAATGTGGTAAGTAGCCCGGCGACTTGCAAGCCCTTCTATGTCTCCTTTGCCCGTGGCCAAATTAGATGTGTGGAGCAGACATCCATATGCCTGCCTCTTTCACTGGTAAACTAGGAGAAACTACTCTTTAAATGTAAAAGAGTGCTTGGGGAAGGAAAGCGAAACCTATTGTGCTCTGTTGCTTCGAGCAGTGTTCTTCCGCTTCATCTTTGATACTGGAAGTGAGCTGGACTGGGAGAAAATAGCTTTGAGCTCAGAGAACCAAAAGATGGGAAGGGGCAGACATATTCTTTTGATGTAAATAATAGACCTCACCATCCATCCATTCATCCTTTATATATGAATGAGAATTAGATTGTCTGTATTCCTTTTTCTAAATTTCTGTTTAAAGTGTCAAAGAAGCTTGCAGACTAAATCAGGAATTCCTTCATTTTGATTTATCTTTCAACTATAAGATTCCCAGGAAAAGGCAGGGGTCATCGTGTTATCCCCTCAACAGTTCTGTTAAGCTGTTTAGGAAGGGAGTATGTGACTTTTTACCAGGGGGTACAGGCAAGGCCGTAGACAGAAAAAAACTTTCAGGGAGGGGTTTGAAACTTTTTTTAAGGAAATCATGAAGAGTAGTTTCATAACACAAAATAATTTAAATAAAATGCCAAGGGCAGAAACTGCCCGAATTGTAAGGTGAATCCCTGGGGTAAAGACATAGCAATAGGAACCCTACTATCTAGAAAAGTGGATGGGAGGGAGCAAGGAGGGAAAGTCCTAATTCCCCATTAGGAACCTACCTCCTACCTCTCACTAGGAGGTACAATAGCCTTAAATAACCTGGAGCTCAGCCCCTGTCAATCACCCCGCACCAAGTCTAGTCTCCTTTATGAGGGCCTTTACCCCCCCCCCCCCATGCCTTAGGCTTTGCCTGCCAGTTATGGTTGGGCCAACTTGGTTGCTTCCACTATATTGGCTTTTGCTGTAAGTAATGACAGTGCGAATAAATTGTCGATATTTGCTTGAGATAGTGCTTGCCGTTCTGGAGGGACTTGTTTAATTTTTGCTTCTCATAGACTTAACCTGGGGATTTGGTTAACCAGTTAAAATTCATGAGTAAACCTGAAATTTAACCTGAAAAAAAATTCAGAGGTGGGTAGTGGAACCTCTAAACCCCCCTCCCCTTGGCCATAGCCCTGGGTACAGGGAACCTTACTAATACATATTGCTTAATATGTGCTCTTGGAGCCCCCGGTGGCTCGGTTGGTTAAACTGCTGAGCTTGTTGACCGAAAGGTTGCAGGTTCGAATCTGAGGAGTGGCATGAGATTCCGCTGTTAGCCTCAGCTTCTGCCAACCTAGCGGTTCAAAAACATGCAAATGTGAGTAGATCAATAGGTAACAGGAAGCACGCCATGCAGTCATGCTGGCCACATGACCTTGGAGGTGTCTATGGACAATGCCAGCTCTTCGACTTAGAAATGGAGATGAGCACCAACCCCCAGAGTTGGACACGACTGGACTTAATGTCAGGGGAAAACCTTTACCTTACTTTATCTAATACGTGCTCTGCAAATAATAAAATTAATTACAGATCTTCTGCTTGTGATGTGTTTGTTGTGATATATGAGCTCAACACTGGCTTTTTCCCTTCCTGGACAAGCCACAGAGAAGGAAGCCATGGTGTGTGGGGGCTAGGAGGGGTAGAGAGAGCAGAGAGCTGGTTTCAGGTATCACAATAAACAAATCATGGATAGAAGATACAAGGTCAGTGTTTCCTGTTTCTGCCTTGGAGAAGCAGCAATAGGGCAGCGTGCACAGCCAGGGTTCTTCATCTCCCATAAACCAAAATTCTAAAAACATTTGTCTCCGTGTGACTTGGAAAGGCTCCAGGGTTATCTGGTGATCTGACAAGATATCTGAGCTCCTCTAGATCCTTTCTGACCAGGGATTTGCTTGGTTAAAAAGCAACACACTCAAGGCAAGACGCCAAGAAGATAGATCTTTGAAGTGCCTCATCAGACAATTAGGCAATTTGCAATGGCAGATAGCAAAAAAACTCTGAGGCTTCAGTAAGAACTAAAAGGACTTTTCACTTCCATTACAATTCCAGAATAGATATAGGAAATGTAAAAAAAAAATATGGCATCCCGTTTTTTCCAGATGTGAAATGAATATCAAGAGTGTTGTTACGCTTAATGAATTTTTGTGAAAGCATTTTGAAATCCATAGCTGTGACTAATGATGGGGATAAACATGAGCAAGTGAATTTTGTTTACAGATGCTCTTTAAATATTATCATCCTTGTACATTGGAGTAATATACTACTGTGTTTACTATGTTCCAAAGATGGCACAGTGCTGCAGACAAGGAGTGTGGGGGGAGGAACTCTTGTTGTTGTTGTTGTTTTTGTTGTTGTTATTGTTGGGGGCAGTATTCGTTTTAGAGAGTAATATTTGAGGAACTGCTCTCTGGGGGTGGACACTATCAGAAACAGCCATTGGTTAGAACAAAGTGGATTTGATTTTTTAACACCCCCCCCCCCACACACACACACACACACACTTTTTTCAGAAAAGCAAGTGAAGAAAGATCATCCCATGAATTCAGATTGTACCTTGCTGACAGAATAGATAATGTAACATTGTATTACCATAGTGACATAGGAGCACCTGTAGTTGTCTAATTAATTTCAAGAAAGGTCTGAACAAAAGCATAAAACAGCATAGTGTCATATATGAAGACCCTAGCAAATAAGAGAGCAAAACTGAACCTTTTGGGCTGGCCAAACGCCAATACTGGCCTCTGCAGAAACTGACATTGTTTCCTCACTCTTGCTTCTCTCTAGAATCTGAACTGCTTCCTCATTGATAATAATGGATTCATACTTGTATCTAAAGTTCCCAAACAGGTAAGAATGAATTAATGAATGATCACAGTTTTCTATGCCTGTTTGAAAAACAACAGGGTGGGGAGAACAAAAAGGAGTAGATGAAAAGGGAAGGAACAAAGTGAAGAAATCTGCATTTTTTAGATTTCTGAAAGCTCTTTGGAATTTTCCCAGAGGAGTAATGAATGCATGCCTCAGTCACATTTAGACTTTGTACAAACTACTGAAACAAATTGATTAATGGGGGGAAGGCATAATTGCATTCTGCTGTTCCTACAAGGTGTTCAGATTGGCTTATTTGAAACTTTATGAGTCTGGCTGCTGCTCTTTGGACCAACTGAAATTTCCAAGCACTTTTGAAAGACAGCCCCATGTAGAGCACATTACAGTTGTCCAACTGGGATGTAACCAAGGCATGTACTAACTACTGTGGTCAGATTTGACTTCTCCAGGAACAGTCGTAGTTGGCACACTAGCTTTAACTATGCAAAAGCACTCCTGGTCACAGCCAATACCTAGGCCTTCAGGTTCATAGCCAAATCTAGGAGTACTCCCAGACTGTGAACCTGCGTTTCCCTATTCCCAGATCTGTCTTACGACTAACTAGGAGCACCTCTGTCTTGTCTGGATTAAGCTTCAACTTGTTTGCCCTCGTCCAGTCCATTACAACTGCCAGGCACCGGTTTAGCACAGGAACCCCTTACTTGGAATTAGGTGAAAAGGAGTGATAGAGTTGGGTGTCATCTGCGTATAGATGGCACTACATTCCAAAACTCCAAATGACCTCTCCCAGTGGTTTCATGTATATGTTGAATGGCATGGGAGACAGCACAAAGCCCTGAGGGACCCCACAGGCCAATGGTCAAGAAGTCGAACAGAAGTCCCCCAGCACCACCCTCAGAGAATACCTCTCCAGGAAGGAACTGAGCCACTAAAGAAGAGTACCTCCAAGTCCCATCCCAGAACGGCGACCCAGAAGGATACCATGGTCAATGATATTGGAAGCCTCGGAAAGGTCCAGGAGAACCAATAGGCACACTTTCCCCCTGTCTAGTCATACACCAAGGCGACCAAAACTGTCTCTGTTCCTACTGGGAGCTCAATATCTCCATCCTGCAGCATTCCAGGACAAGAGTCGAATTCTACTGCCAGGTCCGCTGTCTTGGGGGACTTGAGGCCAACAAATTTGAAGTGAGGAATGTGGGGCATTCTGTCAATATAGTGGTAACACAATCCAGACATCCCCTTCATCAATGAAAACACATTGGTTATGTATTGTCCTATAGCTACTGGCCTGTAGATCGAGGGACTGCATCCAAATCTGAGGTGACCTAGGGTTCTGCAGACCTTCCCCAGTGAGAATACTCCTTCCTGGGGTGGAACACATCTTTGGAGTGTTCTGGGGTGAAGTCTCCGAAATGGGGAGTGTGTTGTTTGGGGATAGATCTATGATACCAGAAGAGACTATGGCTGTATTACAAGTTTCCAACAGGATTTCTCTGAAGACATCCAGTCATTTGATGATATCAGCCTGTTCTGAGAGAGTAATGAAGGAGTTGATAATACTGCCCAAGTCTGAGAGACAATGTGAACAAGTGTTCGAACCCATAATTGCCATAGTTAAACCTAGTGAGAAGGCCGAGGATCTGATCCAGCAAATTTCTTCTTGTATTGTTAAAACAAAGTATTCTTATTTAAAATACATAGTGAAATTAAATCAAAGATGTGAGCTGCTCCTTGCTGAATAAACACTTCCCTTTGAAAGAGTGAGTGCTTTCTCCAGAGCTACATGTACATCCAAGTCAGAAGTGGACAAGTACAGTGGGTTTGCAGTGTAGCAGACAAGCTCTGATCTATGGAACGACTGGACAATGCGATTGGATGATGATTTCAGTAATGAGATGCTGAGAATGTATTGGTTTTTACTGTTTCATCTGATGTTATTTATGCTAAATGTTTTAACTGTTTTTATGTTATTGGGGGCATCGAATTGTGCCGTTTGTAAACCACCCTGAGTCTCCCTCGGGTTGAGAAAGGCGGTATATAAATATGGTAAATAATAAATAAATTTGGGCTTCAGTTCTGCAACAGAACTTTCAAGAAACCCCTAGATTGGTAAAATTACCAGACAAAAACCAAAACCAAAAGTTGCTAGAAATCTACCTTTGGTTTTGTTTAATTTTCAATAATGTTAAAACAGTTTGGTGGCTGGAATGCATTTAAAAGTGAAATGTCCTTCCTGGTAACATTTAAGAAAAATAAACCATTGGTGAAATTTTTAAAAGTCTGGAGAGTCTGGAGGGTTCAAGTGCCACAAAGAAAGTCAGGGGACTGAGCCTAGGTTAGGGTTGCACTTTGCCTGCCAGAGTCCAAATGTCTCTTTCTAGTGGCCCTGCCGTTCTGGATTTTGACACAAGCATGAGATTATAAATCAGGATGTAGTGGTTTGAGTCTTGCACCAGGACTTGGGAAATTAGGGTTCAAATAATCACTTAGCCATTGAAGCACACTATGTGACTTCGGGCAAGTTCCATTTTCACAGCTTCGGAAGTAAACAAATTTTGCCAAGAAAACCTTCTGATAATAGCATAGTCATAAATTGGAATAACAAAATGGAATAAAGCAGTATTTATGAGTTTCAGCTGGAGCCCCAACTTGGAGAGCTATTTCCCTAGTTGCTACCCACCTAATTTCGGAAGATTTCCAATAAGTATATAATAATAACAATAATAATAACAATAACAACTTTATTTTTATGCCCCACCTCCATCTCCCCAAAGGGACTCAGGGCAACTTATACATGGGACAAAATGTCCACAAACATCAAGGCAAAACAATCCATTAAAAATAAGAAACACGATTAAAATAAAACACAGCAAAGCATAACAATCAAATAAAACACAATTAAATAAAGGGTATAAAACAGCAGCCTTAAAACTCACTCAAACAATACACACACACAAAAAACCAATAACCAGAAATACTAAAATGGGCATGATCAGGCTATAAAAAGCACCGGGTATGGAATAGTGCAAAACAGCATATTATAGGATTGGGGGATTGGCAGAAGTGCAGAGAACAGAGTACTATAAAGATTAGTTGGTGTGAAGTTAGGCATTCCTTAAATCTCGAGTTCCAAATCATGTTGGGCTTTAAAGATAAGCATAAGCACTTTACATTGTCCTTTAAAACAGATGGTATCACTGAATCTATTTCAGAATCAGTAAGATATTTTTCCAGTGACTGATTTTTGTGTTTTGAATGAGCTGAAGCTTCTGAACAGTTTTCAGTAGTGGCAGAGGTGGCCCTAGGTAATTTTCATTAGCAAACAGTATTTTGGCGCCCCCCACCAGTCACTGATATATATTTTCTGTTCGTCATGGCAGTTCTGTGTGCCATATTTGGTTCAATTCCATCATTGGTGGAGTTCAGAATGCTCTTTGATTGTAGGTGAACTATACATCCCAGTAACTACAACTCACATATGTCAAGGTCTATTTTCCCCCAAGAGTGCCTCAAGAGCGCCCCTGGGCAAAATCAACTATACTGCAAATGCTTACTTTGCGTAATGGGTTGAGCCACCACTGCCTTGTTGGGTCTCAGGCCCGTAGCCAGGATTTTGTTTCGGGGAGGGGGGCTGAGTCTGAGTGAAAGAGGGTCTACCCTAGCAAACCTTTTGTATCGTTACCCCAATACCCCCATGCATATGGGATATATTGAGTATGGTGATCAGATCATGATATGAATAAACATAACAGTTTAAATAATGCACCAGTAAGGCCTTTTTGCGAAACACCATGAGAATTTGGGGGGGGGGGGCTGAAGCCCCCCAAGCCCCCCTCCCCTGGCTACATGCCTGGAGCTGCCCCTGAGTAGTGAGTCCATGTATAGTCACATTGCAAAAACAGATTACATATTATACTGAAATAGGATTCATGCAAAATATACATGTAAGAAAGTGGTAATGAATTGGAGATGATAGCAGTAATTTTCCAACATCTGGAACTGGAAACTGGCAGAAAACTACACCCCGTTACCTATCCCATAGATCAAAACTCTCTGGGTGAAGTAACTTTAAAATATAAAAAACAAAAGTTGGATATGCATTGGTATTCATATTTCAAGTGTTCAGATACTTTGCATATTTTCTTTCTGTAATCCTTACAACTCTCTTTTGAAGTTAACCATTATTATTATTATTATCAACCACATACTGCAAATGGCAGACTGCGGCTTGCCTAATGCTTTTCTAAATTTATGATAGTCTATTGTCTGTACCACCCAATAAATTTGTGGCAGAGCTACGATTTGGCTGTAATATTTCCTAACTTATGTGGCACTCTTCTCTATCACTCTGGATTAGCCAGAGTAATTCAAAGCTGAGAAGATTTAGTACCAACAATGTTTATACCTCTCTCATTATTATCTCCCTCTTCATGCAGACTGGAAAATTTTTTGGAGAAGTGGATGGCTCTATTATGACTCAACTCATAAACATGGGAATGTTCAAACAGTAAGTGCCAACATCTTCTATGTGACGGTCTCCTTTCAGAAAACCAACTGATAGAAACAAATTGTCTTTTCCACAGTAAGACTCATATAGCTATAGAAAGAGGTAGGATGAAAACAGTGGTATGCAGCATATTGCCTCGGTTATTAAGGTTTGTTCATATTCAGCATCCACAGGAAGCCTCCCAATACAGGAAGCCTCCCAGTATTTGCTCACTTTGGCAAATATAAGGAGAGAACAGAAGTCAACAATTGGCAGTGATGGCAGGAACTGAAGACAATTTTCCTGTGATCATAAGAACAGATACTGACTACAGCTGTGATCACACCGTTCATGTGTCACGTGAGCAAATCCACCGTGTTACATGCAGTATTCCCCTACCTATCTTCTGAAAATACATGTCGGAAGATGGCAGGGAAATAGCTACAGGCACATATCTTTTAAATATGGAAACTCTCAGAAGTGAGCTTCCTAATCCTGCCTTAGTTAAACAAAAGAGCCAATGTTTTATTATTTATTTTCTCTGCTAGATGGTTTTAGTCCCTTCGTACATTGCCAGAATAGAATTGGAGCCTAGAGCCAAATGGACAGGTCTGATTGAACCTACTCTTCTCTACCGATGATTAGAAATGGGTTCATGTTTTCATGTTGTATAACATTGCTTCCCACATTCCCATGTTTCAAAGAAGCTTCTGTGTTGCTCATGTAGCAGAATGTGGCCATGTATATATGGTACAAATGGGTCTCAAAATTCGACCAGATATATCTGAAAGATTTCATATGAATCTGGCCAGAGAAAACATATATAATATTACATTTTTGATAGCTTGGAAAACTTTGTAAAGATGTTATTAGCTGATAGAAGGATATATCTGGACCTTACATGAATAAATATAACAGCTGAGGATGCTCAAGTGCATATAAATGAAAACATAACATTGTATTACTATGAGTGGCATGCTGTGAAATCAGTAAGAAATATCTTCCTGAAATACAGGAAATGTTTTATAGAATGAAATCATGGTGTGAAACATCCATCAAGCATAGGGCGAACTAGATTTTAAGGATAAGGACATTTGTCAGTACTGTTTCTGAATTTATGCAGGACATTTGGATATATTTCCTTCTCCTGTGTTCAGATAAAAGTGCTAAAACTTACTATGTATTGTCGAAGGCTTTCATGGCCGGAATCACTGGGTTGTTGTAGGTTTTTTCGGGCTATATGGCCATGTTCTAAAGGCATGCTCTCCTGACGTTTCACCTGCACCTATGGCAAGCATCCTCACTACCTCTGAGGATGCTTGCCATAGATGCAGGTGAAACGTCAGGAGAGAATGCCTCTAGAGCATGGCCATATAGCCCGAAAAAACCTACAACAACCCATAACTTACCATATTTTCTGGAGAATAAGACTACTTTTTAACCCAAGAAAATCTTCGCAAAAGTCAGGGGCCGTCTTATACGCGGGAGTCGTCTTATAGAGCGGGTGCCGAAACTTCCAATCCAGATTGGAGAATCTGTGGTTGCCGCATGTGGTGGGGGAGCTCAAAAATGGCAGTGACCGCATCCCTGTCATATTCAGTGACTGTATGAAAGCATTAAGGGCGACACTGTACAAGTACGTAGAAGAAAATCCATTCATCAGGATTTGTGGACTTAATGCGGTCCCGATGGTGAGGTGAAGAGGTGCTTCACCGGGAAGGTGTAAGTGAAGGGCGGAGCAAGCTGCAGGTGTCCGGGGCACCTGGGGTATGGAAAAAACAGAGTGGCTCTAGGCCCAGAAAAACACACCTCTTTTACCTGTCTGGCCCGCCCTTGTATCCTATTACCATACCTCCTCCTCTGTCTCTCAGATCTCACACCTGAAGACTGCAGTGAAGCAGTGCAGGTGCGCATGTGTGAGATCTGAGAGGCAGAGAAGGAGGTACAGTAATAGGAAAATTACCATATTGAAATCAAATCTGATGCTTTAAAAAAATTATTTGGTGTGTGTTGGAAGAGGGGTAGTCTTATACAGCAAGTATGTCCCAAACTCAATATCTTAACTGGAAAAGTTGGGGGTCGTCTTATGTAGAGCCAATCAGAGTAGATAGACATGGGCTAGATACCCTCGTAGCTTTTCTGTATAAAGCAGTTTCCAAAGTTCTACTCTTAGACTCGTTTGTCACTTTTGTCTCTTTTTAGGGTGAAAATGTTTGATTACCAAGCTATGTGCAAAGCACCGCACCACCACCATAGTGGTGCCCGACCTCTCCTTAGTGTAAGTATCTCCTTATCAAAAGCCAAGAGGAGCTTCTATAACAGATCAAAATCTTATAGCAGTTTGTGTGTTTACACATCATACTCAAGAAACACTAAACAGTATATTTCATATTAAAAAAACAATAGAGTACTCCCTAAGCAGTTTTGTTTATTGAAGGCAGAAACACTTTTACTCATCAGTTCAGTGAGGATGGTACCTCTCCTGCTACTGTTTTGAATGTGAGTGGTTTTCCTGAGCTCCTAAAGGACCAATCAAGGGAGGAAGATTTTTTTTTTTCATGTCAGGAGTGACTTGAGAAACTGCAAGTCACTTCTGGTGTGAGAAAATTGGCCATCTGCAAGGACGTTGCCCAGAGGACGTCCAGATGTTTGATGTTTTACCATCCTTGTGAGAGGCTTTTCTCATGTCCCCTCATGGGGAGCTGGAGCCGACAGAGGGAGCTCAACCCGCTGTCCCCAGATTTGAACTGAATTTCTCTTCCAAGGGGCAGATTTGTCTCACTTTCTGTTGTCCCACTCTTCGTTCTTAACTATGAGTTCCAAGTTGGATGTTTGTAATTCAGGGACTGGCTGTACATCTCTGTAACTATATCAGCATTTAGATATGCTGAGAAGGAAAATTTTTAGCTGCTTTGACAACACAGCACAGATTTTGACTGTGTTCCACAAATGTTTTTGTTCTGGGATCATAGATACATTACTGCCATAACAGAGATAGAAATTAAAACTTTATGTTGATGCAAGCTTAAACTCACACATTCAAACTGCTGGGAAAGGACATTCACGTTTATTATCCACAAATAATGTCTGCTTCTTTTTGCACTTATCTAGTTGATAAGGCCAAACAGAATAGTTCCATGCAAACAAGAAAATAAAATAGGAAATAAACTTTAATATATATAAAAATGAAAGAGAATTGCAGAATTATAAATCAGCAATCAGCATCTAATATAAAATGATAGGCTTTATATCAAAAGGTAGCTAATATGCATAAAATAAAATATCATATAGTATTGTCAATATCATTCATACATGTATTGTCGAGGCTTTCATGGCCGGAATCACTGGGTTGTTGTAGGCTTTTTCGGGCTATATGGCCATGGTCTAGAGGCATTCTCTACTGACATTTCACCTGCATCTATGGCAAGCATCCACTACCCATAGATGGAGGCAAAACGTCAGGAGAGAATGCCTCCAGACCATGGCCATATAGCCCGAAAAAACCTACAACAACCCACCATCATTCATACATATTTGTTTCAGCTTAATCAATGAAAATAATCATGCATACTGGGGGTGTATGTCATATTTCTTATAATTACCATCTATATAAATAAAAATGTAATGTTCATTTGTAGGATTATCATAACTCAAAAACCACTAGGTGAATTGACACCAAATTTGGACATAAGACACCTCTCAGGCCAACGAGTGACCATCACTCATAAAAACACTGAAAAACACAGTGGAAGGCACTTCAAAAACCAAAAAATAAAAGAATGAATTACAATGCATGCACAAAACCACATATATACATGTATACACAAATATATACACACATATATACACATATACACAGCCTGGGCCACCGCAACGCGTGGCAGGGGATAGCTAGTAGCTAATAGATGATTGAATATAAAGTGATACCAAGAAAGTTTCAAATCAGGATCATTTTAATTGATCACTATTGGATTTGCTTGTTAGATTTAGATTAACTAATTAGCTTTAGATGGTTGAAAGTAGTTTGAATTGGATTACATTATATAATTAAAGTTGTATTAGCTAAACAGAGAAACTTTTGGTAATTACAGTTGGACTGCTATGGTAAACCTTTGTAAGTAGTTGGGTTCACTGTATTTGCTCCAGTTTCTTAAAGAGAGTTAAGAAACTTTCAGGCAGAGCACTTGCAAAGCACTGTGCTATTCAGTATTCAGTCTTTCTTTTAAAACTGATTTTTCATGATGAGGAAAATGATGAAGTACTGAAGGAATAAAAGAAGGTGACAATCAGAAGAGATTTTCCTGGAGATCCAATAAAATTCAGTGTGATGGTGAGATTGCATCCTTGTCAAGAACTAATCCTGGCCTCTTCTTTCTAAAGCAAAGTTGGAAATCATGTTATCTTCCACGTGTTGTCGAACTACAAAGGCTTGCAGTTTTAGCCAACATAGCAATGGTGCAGTCCAACAATTGCAGGAGGAATATCCACCTCTGTTTAAAAGGAATGGCGGACTGCAGAGGCTTTTTTGTCTGTGGTCAGTAACAACCTATATTTTATAAATGATAGTCAGTGATTTACCATCAAATGAGTTTTGGCTGAAGGAGTAAATTATGCAGATTTGCAGAAGACTAGTAAGAGTTTCCTAAACACCCCTTATGGGGAACTGGTCATATAATAAACCATCTATATGTGGTTGTGAAAGGTGGACAGTGAAGAAAAGTGATAGGAAATAAATCAACTAATTTTAAATGTGGTGGTGGAGGAGAGTTCATGCACTGCTCAACAAAAGGAATGGTGCATAGAGCAAATCAAGCCTGGATGTTCACTAGAAGCAAAGATGACTAAACTGAAGCTATTGTACTTTGGACTTGGGAGACATTATGGGATTCATTAGGAAAGAGAAAGAGAAATAATGATTGGTTAAAGTGGAAATAAAGTATGCCTGGAGCAGCCCCAGATCCAGGGCCATTGTTCACATAGCTGGTGCAGCACACGTTGTTTATTCGTTCACTCACTTCCGACTCTTTGTGACCTCATGGACCAGCCCACACCAGAGCTCCCTGTCGGCCGTCACCATCCCCAGCTCCTTCAAGGTCAAGCCAGTCACTTCAAAGATATCATCCATCCATCTTGCTCTTGGTTGACCCCTCTTCCTTTTTCCTTCCATTTTCCCCAGCATCATTATTTTCTCCAGGCTTTCCTGTCTTCTCATTATGTAGCCAAAGTACTTCATCTTTGCCTCCAGCTCCACATTGGTCCTTCTCTCCAATGAGACCAGCTCTCGCATCCATAGGTTACTATGGGAAATACCATTGTGGATCTTTGTTGCCAGTGTGATGTCACTAATCTTCACTATTTTATCGAGATTGGTCATTGCTCTTCTCCCAAGAAGTAAACGTCTTCTGATTTACTGGCTGCAGTCTGCGCCTGCATTATTTTTTGCATCTAGAAATACAAAGTCTGTCACGTTCTTACCTGTTTTATATTGCCACCATGCCACCACTCTTAACTAGCCATAGAGCTCCACACAAACCCCTAGCCATGGCACACACCTGGACTGGCATCAGAACAGCAAACTCCGGAGTTCCCCTGACTTTGCCCAGGGCAAATCAGAGCTAGTTTAAACCGAAAACCCTGTCATACTCACTGGAGGTAGCTGTGCACCATGGAGACATCTGAGGTGAGTATGGACTTTTTGGCTACTAGACAAGTCCTTACTTGGTTGACTTAGGTACAATTCACTCTGGTTCTTAGAGTCTACCTTCTACTTTGTTATTTTTGATGAAGGAATGAGTGTGGAATTGTGAACTAATACTCCCTTTCTTCTGAGATAATTATCTTTTGTTCTTTTTGGCAGCCTCTTTATGCCTTATTGGCAGCAGTAAGGTGGCTGATAACTGACCTCCTCATGTAAGTACAAAACTGGGGGGGAAGGGGGGTTGCTGGGAGGAAATCACAACAGTGACTGCCGTTTCATTAGATTTAATCAGTACATTAATCAACAAATGTTTGATTGTATTGAGGGCAAATTATAATTGGCAGGGCTCCAAGTTTCATTCTCAACTTTTGCTGTTACTGAAAAAGAACAAAAAATGTTAAAGGAGATTTGAAGTTGAGGACAGTTTTAACTGAATCATATAAGTGAAGGGAAAATATAATTTTAATAAATATGTGAGGGGAAGTCATAGAGAGGAGGGAGCAAGCTTGTTTTCTGCTGACCTGGAGACTAGGACGTGGAACAGTGGCTTCAAACTACAGGAAAGGAGATTCCACCTGCACATTAGGAAGAACTTCCTAACTCTCAGAGCTGTTCAGCAGTGAAACTCTCTGCTCCGGACTGTGGTGGAGGCTCCTTCTTTGGAGGCTTTTAAACAGAGGCTGGATGGCCATCTTTCAGGGGTGCTTTGAATATGATTTTCCTGCTTCTTGGCAAGGAATGGACTAGTTGGCCCAAGAGGTCTCTTCCAAGTCTATGATTCCATGATAATCATTATGTAAATAGTTTGGTTAGTCTAAAATGCAGAATCAGGAACCCATTCACATTGCACAGTGGTTCAGCTTTAACTGATATGGCCACATCCTTTATATTCCTTGGGTTTGTAGATTTGGGCACAAGAGTTTTCTGTGTGGGAAAACGAAATGCCACTCCCTAAATTGCAAATCCCAGTTTTCCATAGGATGTCGCCAGAGCAGTTAAAGTGGAATCAGAGCACTATCATAGTGTGGTGTGAGAAGTCCCTGTGTGTCACTGAATTTTGAGTTTGGGGTCCAGAGGATGGAAGTCTCATATTTGACTCATTAATAAAAACAAAGTTATGTCATTGGATCTGCTTAATAACCTAACTAGAAGATATTGACACGTAGGTCTGCCTCTTGCCTTGCTCTGTGATTTAGCCCAAATGCCAGTAGAACTGGAAACAGACATGTTTTCCCTTTCTCAGCCCTGAAAATGCTACAGTGCTTGCAGGGGTAGAGTGTGCTGAATATTTCCGAGTTTGGCCTCATAGTGTGCTGCAGAATGAATTTAGCCTCAGTGCACATGCTGACTCACATGTACATGTATTGCTTTGGAGCTCTAAGGAGGGCAGATCCCAGCTTGGCTTTTTATAAAATGAAGACATTCTAGAGTACCACAATTCCTGTGAGATCCAAGAAGCTTACAACAATGTATCAGAAAAACAGCCTAATTGTCTTCATCTTCCAGATAAGGAGGCATGATTTTTCCAAAATCATATGAATGCAATATGTTGTATATTATGTAAGCCGCCTCGAGTCCCCATCAGGGAAATGGTGGCAGGGTATAAATGAAGTTTATTATTTATTATTATATTATTACATATCTATGGAAAAGGAGACCAGAATACCTAACTTCCAGTGAACGTCCACATCTTAATATACAAATCTACATATTAGAGTTGAATTTTCCCATTAGGATTTGCCTTTTTAGTGCATCCGTTGTGTGTGTGTGTTTGATCATCCCATGGGGCAGGGATGCCATCCATCACAAGCCACAGAGAGCTTGCTGTGTCCCTTTAGGCCTTCTGCAGCATTTACAACTCCATGAAAGCAGAGTTCCTCATTCTTCAGGGAGCCTTCACAAGTGCAGCAAGCTCCTCGCTGTAGATGTTCATCTTCCAGCTTCTGAGTAGAAGGGGAAGGGACGGAACTAGCTATTCATCCTGGGTTTCCTCTTAGAATCATAGAATTATAGAATCAAAGAGTTGGAAAAGACCTCCTGGGCCATCCAGTCCAACCCCATTCTGCCAAGAAGCAGGAATATTGCATTCAAATCACCCCTGACAGATGGCCATCCAGCCTCTGTTTAAAAGCTTCCAAAGAAGGAGCCTCCACCACACTCCGGGGCAGAGAGTTCCACTGCTGAACGGCTCTCACAGTCAGGAAGTTCTTCCTCATGTTCAGATGAAATCTCCTCTCTTGTAGTTTGAAGCCATTGTTCCGCGTCCTAGTCTCCAAGGGATCAGAAAACAAGCTTGCTCCCTCCTCCCTGTGGCTTCTTCTCACATCTTCATCCCACTAGATCACATGGAAAAACAAATACTCAAATGAGACTAAGATAAACATGGGAAAGGACCTTACAGGAATAACATGTGAAATCAGAAAGTCATATATATGAACCTGAGAAGCCAAACCCATTCCTTTTGCCTTGAAAAAAGATCTGCACCATCTTTCCGACATGATATATCTTCCTTGAGAAATGTTTTTATATACAGATTTGGTATCAATTATCCAAAAGGCTTAGAACTGGAAGTGCTTTGGATTTTGGATTTTTTCCCATATTTTGGGATTCCTATATTTCTCTGTTGCAAGACAGACCCGTTAAAGCACCAGACCAATATTAATTAAACATTCCATATCTATACATAATGTGATATCTTGGAGATGGTACTTAAGTCTGTCACAGAATTGTTTTTGTTTCATATATATCTTATATACATAGCCTGAAGGTAGTTTTATACACAATTTTTAATAATATTTTTATGCATGAAACAAAGTTGATAGATACTGAACTATTAGGAAGCAAAGGTATCGCTGTCTCAGTCACCCATTTGGGCTATTTTGGAATTTGGAGAACTTTAGATTTCAGAATTCCAAATAAGGGATGTTCACCTTGAATGATCAATATTTGTTTATTATTTGCAGCATTTTTATTCCGCTCTTTTCAGCCCGAAGGCAACTCATGGTGGCGTACAGCTTGGCAACAATTAGATGCCATAAACATACATACATACATACATACATACATACATACATACATACCTATCAATTAAAAACCTTTAATATCACATGATAAAAATCCATATAAAAACCAATTAAAACTCTAATAATTAATGTCTACCAGTTTGACTCCTAATGCATTTGCTTCGTTTAAGCCATTCCGTGTTCATTGTTTCATCTATTTACGCCGTGTTACCAAAAGCTTGCTCAAAGAGCCAGGTTTTTACTCTTTTCCAAAAGATCAGTAGGGAGGGAGTCAATCTAATATCCCTGGGAAGGGAGTTCCATAGCTGAGGGGCCACCGCTGAGAAGGTTCCTGCCAAGCACGCCCGCGAGGAAGGCGGGATTGAGAGCAGCCCCCCCCCCGGGACGATCTTAAATTCCTGGATGGTTCATAAGGAGAGATGCGTTTGGACAAGTAAGCTGGGCCGGAACCATTTAGGGCTTTATAGGCTAAAGTAGCAGACTGGCAGCCAGTGGAGCTGGCACAACAGAGGAGTTGTATGCTCTCTAAGCGCTGCTCCTGTTAGCAACCTGGCTACCTCCCACTGGACCATTTGAAGCTTCCGAACAGTCTTCAAAGGCAGCCCCACATAGAGCACATTGCAGTAGCCTATACGCGATGTAACCAGAGCGTGGACTACCATGGCCAAGTCAGATTTCCCAAGAGCTAAGTATATTTCCCATATACTCACTTAATTTGAGTATTGCATTGTTGTCAAATATGTCATAGCTCTGGACCATGCTTTCCCCTCACAAAAATATAAGTTGAGAGTTTTATATAATCTCATCGGAGTGAGCCCTACATGAGTGTCAGCAGCAAGAAAGGCAGCGTCTTCAGTACATCTGGTACAGCGGAGGTCAGTGATTACATTGGGCCCAGACTTCAGTGCTGGATCCAAACACCTCTGAATGTGGGACAACAGCCAGCTTCCAAGACTTCGATTGAGACGAGCTTGCCAAACATATTCCACAGCTGTTGCTGTGCAGCAAATACCAGCACTGCATTGCCGAGCAGATGGCTTTCAAGGTGACTGAGTGCATTTCCCTCTCAGTCCCAAAGAGCACAATGTTAATGACAGCCTTGCCACAGGAACTGCTAGTAATTCATTTTCAGGTTAAGGCACAATTATCCATTATTTAAAAATAACAAAAAATAATTTTAAGTAACTGGATCAGGTGTGAACTGGAAGGAACTGCAAGGTAGGTTTTAGACTCTCTCTGAAGGCTATTAAGTCAAAGTACAGCCAGTCATCCAGATTGGCTGCCTTTGCAACACCTCTACCCCTTCTGGGCTAGTATAAAAAACATCTTCTTTTTCTTATTTTGACAGATTCCTTTTGGAGTTTAATATATCTAGCTTCTGGCATGCAGACAACTTGGCAGATGGTGAGTATGTAGAATTACAGCCAGCCCACAGCACACAATTTTTGCAACCACCAGGCTTGGATGAAGACATTACACATAGTAACATGATTTAGCACAGCTCAAAGGCATAAGTTGGCAGTGAGAATGTAGTCTCCAGGTTCCATTTCACCTATGTTCATCCCCACTGGAATACACTGGTGAGATTTGATATTACTGGTAACTATGGCAGCTCATGCATATAATTTATGGTAGGATGTTCACATGGTGAGAGCCAATATGGTGCAGTGGCTTGAGCATTTGACTACAACTCTGTAGACCAGGGTTCAAGTCCGCACTAGCCATGGATGGCCTTCGGCAAGTCACATTCTCTCAGTTCCCAGAGGAAGCCAAAGGCCAACACCCAATCCAGCCTCCACCCAAACAAACATTGTGGGAAAAAATCTAGTGATAGGAACACCTTGGGGTCACCATCAGTCAGAAATGACTTGAAGATGGACACAGGGTGGATGAGAGATGACGGGTATCTGGTTACTGTAACAGCTTACCAGTCCTATTTCCCAACCTCCAATGAGGTGTTTTGATTGAACTGTGCAGTAGTGAGGCACTCAAAAGTCTCTGGTGCTTCGCCTAAAACAGTGTTGGGAAATACAATCACCTATGGATTAAATGTAATACGAGTAGGTCTTGCTTCCTCTATGAACTGTGAAAACTACATTTATTTCTTTTTTTAAATTATAAATGTAATTTTGCAATGTATTCTAAAAGTAGAAAAACACAGGCTAACTTTTAACTTGTCAATTAAACTTGTTAAATATTTAAGTCAAGTCCATTTTCTTTCCATAAAAATCAGGTAAGCATTTCAAAAGAAACAAAATTTGGCGCTATGATAAATGTGATACATGCAGATGCACCCAAAGATTGGGAGCAATCAGATTAATCACATAATAATAATAATAATAATAATAATAATAATAATAATAACATATTATTATTATTATTATTATTATTATTATTATTATTATTATTTATATTCCACCCTATCTCCCCAAGGGGACTCAGGGCGAATCACGGCAAACGTTCAGTGCTGTTTTGGATAGACAAGATAAAGACAGACCAGTAAGGAGGTATGTTGTGTTGACATCCAGCTTTTTGGCACCTTGGAGGTTGTGCTCGAATTCAGCTGTTGTTGCTCCATCCTCCATGACAAAGCGCCATCAGGACTTCCTCCTTCCTTTTGGTCACCAGGCATTTTCTGATCTTTTTCTTTATGGTGTTGTAAAATACCTTCCCCACTTGTTTTAGTGGTACCTAGTTTCTCTACTTACATCTCAAGCTTCTTTCGAACTGCTTAGGTAAACAGTAAGCTGGGCTGACAGTCAGGAGCTCACACCAATCTGGGGCTTTGTATTGGCAACCTTTTGGTTCATAAATCTTATAATTGCTGGCGATGTACCAGCTGTGCTAAAATTGCTGGAATTTAAGTCGTGAGAATAGTTATGTCATTAAGCGGTCAGAGTAGGGTATATTTCCATCATCATACTGTTCTTTATGTATTTGTTTAATTTATAGCCTTCCTTTCTCCCAGCATGGACACCAAAGCATCTTACTGCATAAGTTAAAACAAATGTAGGAAAACAATATCTAACAACAGTAAACAATCGTACCAAAATATTAATTTAAAAGTGTTAGAAGTACGCACAAAACCTTTAAAAAGGGTAAAACCTCAGCACTTCATTAAAAGTCCCTTCTGTCATTGCAAGTAAACAATAACCTTCGTTTTTTAAAAAAAAAGACATTGCCTGTTTTTTTAATTTGAAGCTTTCATTTCTTCAATATGCTCTGCTTCTTGAAGCGTACTACATAACCCCTCCCTTAGAAGTGAAGGGAGCACTGAAGGAAATAGGCAACTGAAGGCATCACTCATGTAACTACATCTTGGTTAATTGTCAAGCATGTGAAAATTACTTTCATAGATAAGTATTCTTCCATCAATCATTGCTGTCATCAAAGCCATTTCACCATCATGTCATTTTTTTTCTCTTTCTCCTTTCATTTCCTATTCCTCTCATGTGTGTGTCTTCACAATGACATTGTGACAACAACTTGTGAACATGTCATCATGAATCGACATCTTCTTCATTTCATATGACCTACACAGCCAAGGCTGTTTTCCATCATGGTAAGTAAGTATTAATATAGTAAAAAAAAATTCTGGAAACAAAAGCACATCCATAACAGTTTTTATTCAAGGCAGTTTCTAATTATAATTGTTCAGACAGAAACAGATGTAACTTTGCTTAATGATCAAGCAACTGCTCAGGTTTTGGTATACGTACAACAAACATAAATTGGAATATTTATTGATCCAGGTATGACCTTGAAATAAGGAGGCATATACTTGCAGGGCTGTATATGTTGCATGTAGAAAGAACAGCAAAGCGTGGGCTTCTTCCACACAGATCTTATTAAAATGAATGAATGTTACATAGCAGCGGAAGGTTGTTCTCCATATGAACTCAGGTAATGTAAATATGGATAATGCAAATTGAATGTAGGTAGAGATACTCTGCTAAAATGAACACATAAGTAAAGGTTTCCCCTTGACGTTAAGTCTAGTTGTGTCCAACTCTGGGTGTTGGTGCTCATCTCCATTTCTAAGCCGAAGAGCCGGCGTTGTCCACAGACACCTCCAAGGTCATGTGGCCCTTACCTTCCCGTCAGAGCAGTTCCAATTGATCTACTCACATTTGCATGTTTTTGAACTGCTAGGTTGGCAGAAGCTGGGGCTAACAGTGGGAACTTACCTCTCACAAATAAGAAAAGAAACAATGCTGTGATTACATGTTGTGCAATTCTCTCCAGGGTTAATTCTACTTACTAGGTGCTGCTCTGAAAATATCAGGAATGTGAGCATTCAGCTCAGAAAGGGCATTTTTGTACTTTCTATAGGTATAAATTATAAATTCAAATCAGTCAATTGAATGTATGTCCAGGTTTCCCTTAGGAAGAATGAAGAATCATTGAAGCATTTCTTGACTAGGGATAAAGGCCCTATGTTGTCGAAGGCTTTCATGGCTGGAATCACTTGGTTGCTGTGAGTTTTCTTCTAGAACATGGCCATACATCCCAGAAAACTCACAACAACCTAGATATGAAGGCCCTTTCTCAGCAACAGCAATTACAAAGGTTTCTTTGGTTATCATTACACTAAAAATCACCATATTCAGTTCTTGTGGGGTTTTTTCGGGCTATATGGCCATGTTCTAGGCTAGAGGCATTTCTCCTGACGTTTCGCCTGCATCTATGGCAAGCTTCCTCAGAGGTGAGGTCTGCTGGAGCTGGGAAAAAAGGGGTTTATATATCTGTGGAATGACCAGGGTGAGACAAAGGCTTTTGTAAGTTGGGTAGGTGTGAATCTTTCAACTGACCACCTTGATTAGCATACAATGGGCTGACTGTGCCTGGAGCAAACTCTTCTTGAAAGGTGATTAGATGTCCCTGCCTGTTTTTCTCTCTGCTGTTTTTGCTGTTGCAATTTTAGAATTTTTTAATACTGGTAGCCAGATTTTGTTCATTCTCATGGTTTCTTCCTTTCTGTTGAAATTGTCCACATGTTTGTGGATTTCAATGGCTTCTCTGTGTAGTCTGACATGGTGGTTGTGAGAGTGGTCCAGCATTTTTGTGTTCTCAAATAAAATGCTGTGTCCAGGTTGGTTCATCAATCACCATATTATTTTTGATCAACTTGGGATTCATTGTATTGTCGAAGGCTTTCATGGCTGGAATCACTAGGTTCTTGTAGGTTTTTTTGGGCTATATGGCCATGTTCTAGAGGCATTTCTCCTGACGTTTCGCCTGCATCTATGGCAAGCATCCTCAGAGGTAGTGAGGTCTGCTGGAACTGGGGAAAAAGGGGTTTATATATCTGTGGAATGACTAGGGTGGGGCAAAGAGCTCTCTGCTGAAGCTAGGTGTGAATGTTTCAGCTGACCACCTTCATTAGCATTTGAAGGCTTGGCTGAGCCTGGGAAAATGTTCTGTTGAGAGGTGTTAAGATGTGCCTGGTTGTTTCCTCTCTGCTGTTTTGCTGTAGTAATTTTAGAGTTTTTTAATACTGGTAGCCAGATTTTGTTCATTTTCATGGTCTCCTCCTTTCTGTTGAAATTGTCCACATGCTTGTGGATTTCAATGGCCATGAAATGACCATGAAAATGAATAAAATCTGGTTACCAGTATTAAAAAACTCTAAAATTACTACAGCAAAACAGCAGAGAGGAAACAACCAGGCACATCTTAACACCTCTCAACAGAACATTTTCCCAGGCTCAGCCAAGCCTTCAGATGCTAATGAAGGTGGTCAGCTGAAACATTCACACCTAGCTTCAGCAGAGAGCTCTTTGCCCCACCCCAGTCATTCCACAGATATATAAACCCATTTTCCTATTTCCAACAGACCTCACTACCTCTGAGGATGCTTGCCATAGATGCAGGTGAAACGTCAGGAGAAATGCCTCTAGAACATGGCCCTATAGCCCGAAAAAACCTACAAGAACCTTGGGATTCATTTTTAAAGAGGGTGAAATCAGACAGGAATGAACCTATTGCAGTGTCACAAATGATGCAGAGGTGTAGTTCACAAGGGCAACTATCTGTTCTGCCCAAGTATCTTGAGGTTTCCCAGTTAATGATAAACCTCTCTTTTCTAATTTTAAAATCACTACCTTATATTGTGTTTCCAAATAAAATTGTCCTTTGCATGTGTGTCCCCCCCCACCACCACCACCACCACCTTTAGTATCTAATGCTTCAAAAGCATCATGAAAAAGGTGGGGTCTGATATTTTGCTTCCTTTTGCTGCTCTTACTCCAGCATAATGTTAACAGCCGTCTCTAGAGAGAAGCTGGGGCATGGAGTGGAAATCCTGCGCTCTATCTGTTGTGATGGCAGCCCTGCCTCATAGCCCATCATTAGCAGCTGAATGAATTCCTTCCAACTCTTCAGGCTCAATGGTGTGCACTCTTGTCATTACCATTGCTGTGTACGAGGAACTCCTCGGTCTGTTTGGGGGGAAATTACCTCTGCTCCAGTTAAAAAGTGGTTAGAGGGCAGAGAAAAATGATCTTGCATAAAATCAATCTCTATCACTTTAAGAGCATATGTGTCTGGAGCACAAAACTTGAATGAAATAGACAGGATCCTCTCTGTCTTCTACGCCTTTACCTTTGCAAAGAATTTGTGAAGAGGGGAGATATTTTTTTTCCTCCTTCTGCCAATCTGGACATCAATTGTTCCAAAAACTCCTCACAATAAAACAATTGTTTCAAAATGAATATGGTGAATGTACATATATCTTAACTAGCAATAATGATGATTAGGGTTTTTGGAAAATGTTCTGGTTGAAGTGGTTGGTATTGATAGTGCTGCTTCCTATGTGCAAATTACAAAAATTACCAATGCTACAAGAGAAAAGTCTGGGGATCCAGCTGAATAGTTATGAGGGTTGGCTGTGTTTGTGCAGAAAATGAGTTCCACAAAATCTGAACTGAACATACAGCTCAATCTGAATACAACCCATCATTCATAATTAAGGAGTTAATGAGCTAGGATCCCCCAGGTTCTGTGTAACTATGAACTCAATAGGTAAATGTTAGCAAAATAACCATAATTATAAAAGGAGGATGGAAAATGTCCTGGTGGCTGAGTCAGGTCTCAAAAATCCCTTTTTTATTGCACAGAAGACTTGAAATGAAATCTTAGGGGAAAGGTACTTTTTATAATACTAACTGCTGTGTAAAGATAGCCTGCCTTCTTCCTTCCCATTTTAAAGACTGAAGTAGAGAAGTTACCACATAATTGTGCTGTAGGGAGATTTGGTGTAAAATGTTACGAAATTTTAGTAGTGTAAAAAGTAGAGTGAGTAAAAGGGAAGTGAAAACTAAGGCAGGAAATAGAAGTCAGAGGATGAGCTGATAGTTTGGCTTCGAATGGTAATTTCTTTCAAGTATAAAGGTTTGAAAGATCCGAAATAAGACCAAAGCAACATGCTTGTGTGCTAGCAGGTGGGACAGAATAATTTCTGTGAAATTTGAAACAGGGTAGATTCTCAGTTCTTGTGGGTTTTTTCGGGCTATATGGCCATGTTCTAGAGGCATTTCTCCTGACGTTTCGCCTGCATCTATGGCAAGCATCCTCAGAGGCGAGGGTAGATTCTAATAGTGAGCATCTACAATGTGAAATCTAGCAGAATTAGAACCATATTATCTTCATTTCCATTGTCACTCTGTGTGCTCCTCCATAACTATCACTAATGTGGGTTGTTGTGGGTTTTTTTGGGCTATATGGCCATGTCCTAGAGGCATTCTCTTCTGACGTTTCACCTGCATCTATGGCAAGCATCCTCAGAGGTAGTGAGGTCTGTTGGATCTAGGAAAATTGGGTTTATATATCTGTTTTCCTAATTTTCCTAGTTTCTAGCCCAACCAATCAGCTTTATGCTTTGCATTTTTCAGTTAAAACACTCACCAACTGATTTTTACATGCTCCAACAAGATCTGCATCAGACGTTTAACCTTATGGGGTGGGAAGGGAGCAGGTCCAAAGTCCACTGTTGTCAGGAGAACTGTAAAAATGTGCAAAATTTTATCTGTTCATTGTATGTATTTGGGTTATGTATGTATAAGTAAGTTTGTATCTTTAATTGCTGAAATGCTTGTGATGTGGTTTTGGTTAATTGGGTGCAGGTGGATCTAATTACTGTGGTTATAATGTGTTGCATCTGCCTGCAGCCAGCAGCAGCCTTCAGCAGCTTTCAGCGTCCCTCAGCGTTCTGCTATTGCTATAGCCTTGAGCTTTTGGAGAAGCTATGGCGTTTTTGGAGTTTGGGACTCTAAATGTTTTGTTTAGGGTCTGATATCTGATGCAAGATGTTTGTTTTCTTACTTTTGATGTTTTCCACTATGAATTTATAATAAAGAAAGACTCTGCTAACAACTGTCATCTTCCAAGGGCAGATCTCCCTCTCTGCCCTTGGAAATAGAGATCTGATATATCCTGTGATCCTGTGGGATGCCCACCTAAGGACCATCATTTTGCACAAAATATACAGTAGTTTGTTTCATCTTTGAATGATAAGTTGAATATGCACTGCTGTGTTTCTAAATAGTGAAATTGTTCTTATGAACTTGTTCTGCATTTTTAAATGTTTTGACGTATTATCAACTTTCTCTTTGGTGGTTTGGTCATGCAGAATCTCCAGCACAGGTTGCAGCGCTGTCACCACTGCAATAAGCAAAACATGTACCAAAATATATTCCATATAAGCCCATCTTGTTTTAGTGAGAGGCATCAAAATGTGCTTAGTCTGGTATCATTTATTACAGTAATTCTGCTTGTTTAAGAGTGCACTGTGTTTAAATTATCCAGGATTTCATTTGTCCCTCTCAAAGAGAGGTGGAGACCCTGAGGAATACCAGTATTTGTTGTACTATACTTCCCACCATTCTTCATCACTGGCCAATCTGACTGGGTCTGATGGGAGTTATAACCACAAGCTTTCCCCCCCCCCCCCCCCCATTGCATAGGGTTAGGCTCTTACACTTCTGAATTTGCAATTTCTGGAACAGAGAGATTTCTTACACAATTAGGTAAAGGTTTTCCCCTGACAGTAAGTCCAGTTGTGTCCAACTCTGGAGGTTGGTGCTCATCTCCATTTCTAAGCCGAAGAGCTGGCGTTGTCCATAGACACCTCTAAGGTCATGTGGCCATCATGACTGCATGGAGCACCATTACCTTCCCACCAGAGTGGTACTTATTGATCTTCTCACATTTGCATGTTTTCGAACTGCTAGGTTTATTTATTATTTATTTTATTTACTATATTTATTACTGCCCCTCTCAGTCCAGAGGCGACTCGGAGTGGTTTACAAATTGGCAATAATTGGATGCCATAAAACTTATAACAAATAAAAGCAATAATAAAATTCAGTTAATACAATAGCATATGATATAAAAATATAAAAACTGTGCAAAGCCTTAAAACATTATCATGAGCATCTCTATGTCAAATCATAGGTTGGCACAATTAGGAGCATGCAGATAGATAGATAGATAGATAGACAGACAGACAGACAGACAGACAGACAGATAGATAGATCAGTTCGTCTTAAAGATGCTGCTACACTTCTTTGTTTCATCCTCTCTCCTTAGTAGAATTAGCATCATTTTACTAAAATTTGGAACTGTGATAGTCTTTTTCCCCCTTCCCCTTTGCAACTACAGTTATGAAGCTAGAGGAAAGTTTGCTTTGATGAAAAGGGAACCTTTTCCACATTTAGACAATATGCGTCTTTAATTGATACTGAATTTTCACTTGTCTGAGCTTTTAGTTGTAACTTCACATGTAGTAACTTTCTAGCAATGGAAATCTTGTCACAGGTAGCTTCTTATATTCCCTTTTTGCCTGGAGTGGAGAGGGTCCACAATCATGTTCCAGGACATCCTCATAGACTGGTTCTTTTGCGCCACCCAGTGGCTTCTAAAATCCATGCGCTTTGTTTTGGAGGTCAGTTACCTTCTGCTGCCCTTTTACATCTCCCCTGCCTCCAATCTGTCTCAAGTCCCAGCTATATCACTTGTCTGATTTTTTCCCCCACTCTGCCTCTTTTTTTCTGTTGCAGCTCACAAGCATAAGAAACATGACATGCTGCAGCCTTGTGATACAGAATACCCCGTGTTTGTGTACGAACCTGCGATCCAAGAAACGAATGGGATCATCGATTGTGGAGGATGTCAGAAGTAAGAAATGTGCTGCCTCCCCGCTCCTCACTCTTTCCTCTTGAGTGTCCCAGGTTAATTTGCTTTGAAAACTGGCAAACTATCCCTTGTAATCTGATCCAAAACATCCCATTCCTGTCCACTTCAGTGTGGTCATCCCAGTATTGCAATGTTTTTATGTTCTATTTCTTGTTTTGGTGGTCATCTCCATTTCTAAGCCGAAGATGTCTGGCTTTACCCATTTATGTCTGGCTTTACCCATTCCATGTTCCTATATGTTATACAGTTTCTGACTTTTCTTTAGTCTCTGAGCATGTCGACTGATTAATGCCTTTTCAGCTTGAGTCCAGTTAACCAAAACACTACTTGCAGTTGTCCTTTGCTGTACTTCACTGAGTGCCTTCTAGCACTATCTCTTGTTTCATTTTGGATTGTTGCATTATAGGGCTTTCATGGTAAAATACCTTCAAAAAGACTATTCCATGCCTGCTTCTGCAGTATTAAATGTTAGCTATGGCGCCACTGCTATTATAGAATCATAGAGTTGGAAGAGACCTCGTGGGCCATCCAATCCAACCCCCTGCCAAGAAGCAAAAAAATTGCATTCAAAGCACCCCTAACAGATGGCCATCCAGACCCTGTTTAAAAGCCTCCAAAAAAAGTGCCTCCACCACACTCTAGGGCAGAGAGTTCCACTGCTGAACAGCTCTCACAGCCATGAAGTTCTTCCTAATGTTCAGATGGAATCTCCTTTGTTGTGGTTTGAAGCCATTGCTCCATGCCATAGTGGAGCCCCCAGTGGCGCAGTGGGTTAAACCTCTATGCCGGCAGGACTGAAGACCGATAGGTCAAAGGTTCGAAGCCGGGGAGAGGCAGATGAGCTCCCTCTATCAGCTCCAGCTCCTCATGCGGGGACATGAGAGAAGCCTCCCACAAGGATGATAAAAACATCAAATCATCCAGACAACGTCCCCTGGGCAACATCCTTGCAGACAGCCAATTTTCTCACACCAGAATGGACTTGCAATTTCTCAAGTCGCTCCTGACACGACAAAAAAAATGCCGTAGTGTCCAGGGCAGAAGAAAACAAGCTTGCTCCCTCCACTCTATGACTTCTCCTCACATATTTATACATGGCCATCATGTCTCCTCTCAGCCTTCTCTTCTACAGGCTAAACATGCCCAGCTCTTTAAGCCGCTCCTCATAGGGCTTGTTCTCCAGATCTCTGAGAGACCCACCAATGTCACCCCAACTAATGCTGCTGCTCATACATTTAGCAAAACCCATCTCACATGGGAGACCCTACCAGTAGCACCTGGTACGACACAACTATTTGAACAACCTTATCCAATGAGATCTCCTTAAAATACCTCTGAATCTGTTGGACAGGGGTCTTATATGCTACAGTGTTCTGTCTTATGCCTTTTGCTGTTCAACATTCTTATAAATGAGTTTGGGAAAGTGGTGTGGGAAAATGCTTGTCAAATTCGGAAAATATATTATGCCCAGACAAATATCTAACATCACAAACAAGAGAATCAAAATTCAGAATGATCTCAAGAGCCTGGAACACTGCATTTAAACAAGAAATGAAAATAAACAGAGATAAATTGATTTGGCAAGTAATTAGAAGATGAAGTTCATGTTCATGAAGGATCTATATATCTGAGTAAATTACAAGCTATGAGCTTGTTTAGGAAGTTAATGTAAATTTGGATTTTTGTAAACAGAAGCATAATGTCCCAATCACAAATAGGAAAGTTTGTGTACTAATCAGGCTATATTCAGTGCACTGTTGTCCTATTCATCCCTGGTACCTTTCACGAATAATATTGAAGGTGTCCTACAAGGTATTCTTGAAAGTGCTGGATATATTAAACCTGGGGGGGGGGGGGGGGGGGGGGGGGAGAGAGGATTAAGAGGTGAAAAAAATTGGTCTTCAAATACCTAAGATTTGTTCATGGAAATTTTTTAATGTTGATATTATTTATCATGTCAGAAGTGAATTGAGAATGCAGAAAAACCACAAACAAAGTTTTAAAACTTGGCATTATACTAAATTTTCTTTGACCAGAAGCTGGCTACTCTAAGTCCTTCTGGTATAGCTGTAAGAAGGTCCTCCATTGTGCATGTGGCAGGGCTCAGGCTGCATTGTAGTAGGTGGTCTGTGGTTTGCTCTTCTTCACACTTGCATGTCATGGACACACTTTGTAGCCCCATTTCTTAAGGTTAGCTCTGCATCTCGTGGTACTAGAGCACAGTCTGTTCAGCGCCTTCCAAGTTGCTCAGTCTTTTGTGTGCTCAGGAGGGAGTTTCTCATCTGGTATCAGCCACTGATTGAGATTCCAGGTCTTAGCCTGCCACTTTTGGACTCTTGCTTGCTGAGGTGTTCCTGCAAGTATCTCTGTAGCTCCTAGGAAGCTGTTTCTTGATTTAAGCCATTGGCATGCTGGCTGATAGCTAAACAGAGGATGGGCTGGACATGTCAAAACCTTGATCCTTTCATTGCAGGCTGCTACTTCCCAATGGATGTCAGGTGGTACAATACTGGCTAAACAGTATAATTTCTCCAGTAGTGTAGGGTGTTGGTGATAGTGATAGTGACAACATTATAACCACTATCATGTTGATAGTGACAACACTATAAACACTGGATGAAACTCATAGAAAAGCAGATTTTAAAAAGAGTTAGTTGTAACAGCAATGAAGCCGACTACCCCAGGAGGTGATCGCCTCTCTATCAGTTGAGGGGTTGAGCAAGGACTATCTGGTTATGTTGAGGGGGTGTCAGAGCTGTATGCTGCACCCCAAATTAGGCACAGAGCAGGGGGTACACTTTCATCTCATAATACATATCAAGCATTCCACATGTTATCATGACACATTTCTTCTAAATATAGTCTCCACGTAAATTCTTTTTAGAAAATTCCAGTAACACAGGCAATGTTCCTAGCCATACCAAGCTGGCACATAAAGTTGCAAAGTCTGTTGGAATGAATGAAACCTACAAAAAGAGTAATGCAAAAAACTGGAAAGGTGGTGCCAAATATACATATCAAGCTAGCACCCTCCCTTAGCCTTTCAGGGGACTTCACTGCATGATATGCTCATCACCAAAGGGTTCCCAGAAGAGGGCAGCAAAACACCATTGCAATCTCTGGCTGCCAGAAATAGCAGAGATCTGACACGTCCTCTGTATTTCTGTTATCGAAACATCAGGTACACTTTCCGCTTTGTGGTGCATTCAGTGAGAAAATAACTCAAAGTAACTATGCAGCAAAAAAGGCAATTCAGTACAACAAAAGCACATGAGCCTAGGGCTCAGACACACTGTATGCCACTCATAGCCTTCTGGCCCTAGCAATTGCAACAGCTTAAAATAGAGATGAACCCTTTGCACTGTAATCCATACTTAGTCAACCCACTTCACCCTCAGACCAAATACTGTTTGGATGCTTTTTGGCTTTCAGTGGAAAGGACACAGAAGTCAGAGTACACTGGATGCTATAATCGTGCTTTGAATGTAGCTCCTCTTCTGTAGATTGACTCATTACTTTTTATATCCTTCCTTTTCCCCAAGGCGCTCAACTCATGGTACAAGGCTCTTTCTACTTCTCCATTGTATCTCTACAACAACCCTGTGAATTTCAATGATTCAGAGCCAATATCCAGGAGTCAAAATATCATTTATTAGCATAGGGGACTTAAATATGTGTCTCCTCAATCCAAGCCTTGCGTACTAAGCATTAGACCATGCTGACTGTATATAATTTAGCAGGGTTGACCATCCATATGTGTGATTTAGTATACAGATACATGTACAGATCTGTATATATTTATCTTAGGGACACGCTTGGAATATACAGTCTGCCATGAGCCACTTACATGGACACATAGAGACAAGCCTGGCCATCTTTTCACCCATTACTGTGTATGCTCAGCAGGCCTGTTGATGATGGAGTGATCAGGAGAGCTCTAATTCATCGGGTCCCTAGAAGTCGAAGGCCACTAGACAGCAATTAACAAAATATGTATGAATCATCTTGCTTACAATACCAAATCTATTGATTGCAAACACACTTTTAAGCCATAGTCAACGAAATACATGCACACATGGTGGAGCACACAGAAATATATAATTTATAAAGATGTATCACAGAGTCAGCTGTATACAGTCTACCATATTACCCAGGACTATGATTTTACAAAAACTATCCAGGCACTCCTAGAAAACTGCAGCTTCTATGTGGAGTTTCAAGGCAGGAAAAGTAGATTTAGATGGCCAAAGAATGTTCACCTCAAGGCAGCATTCTTGCACTGACCTTGTTTAACATCTTTACTTACCATCAGCCACAGCCATCACTCACAAAGTTTTATACATGCTGACGACCTCGGTCTAACAACACAAGCAAAATAAGTTGAAACAGTTGAAAACCAACTTACTAAAATAACAAAAATAATAAAATAATAAAATTACAAAAATAACCACTTGAAGCCCAACCCTGCTGAGACACAAGTGTGTGCTTTCCACCTACGTAACTGTGAAGCCAACAGTAAATTAAAAGTTACCTGGGAAGGCTGAGAGCTCAAACACTTCCCATCCTAAATATCTCAACATCGCCTTAGATCAAACACAAACATTTAGGAAACACTGTGTAAACACCAAGCACAAAGTAGCTGCATGGAATAACATTTTGTGGAAACAGCATGGAATGCAGACCCAAAATTAATAAGAACATCAGCCCTGGCCTTGTCTTACTCAACCGCTGAGTATGCCTGCCCTGCTTGGCGCAAGTCTGCCCACACTAAGCAAGGGAATATAGCACTGAAAGAAACATGTAGAATAATCACAGGATGTCTTAAACCCTAAATTTCTGCCAACTGTGAGAAAAATAAGGTTGAACACAGAAAGCCTTCCATTGCATGGCTATCAACCTCCTCCCAGTCGACTCAGATCAAAGAAAGGTTTCATGAGATCCATTACTCCTCTTAATATTCCTTAAGCAATAGCAAGAATATGCCTGTGGCCAGCAAAATCAGACAATTCCTACTGGATGGCCCCCTACAAGGGTCTTCCCCCAGGGGCAAACCAAGAATGGGCAACGTAGAAATCCCTGAACAGACTCAGAAGTGATGTTGGGAGATCAAAAGACAACCTGGCTTAATGGCACTATCTAGAAGAATCTTTCACCTTATGTGACTGTGGAGCAGAACAAACAACTCAGCATCTGTATGCATGTTTACAATGCCCTGCCTCATGCACAGAGGTAGAACTGTTTAAAGCTAAAGACAATGCGGTCGCTGTTGCCCGTTTTTGGTCTAAAATTTAGCCGCTTGTGTTCCCTCTATTTCATCTGGTGGGGAGGGAAGTGCAAAAACATGTTTTATCTGTTTCCATATAATACCTTGTCTAAATGGGGGCACTTTCTTACCCTTACAGGATGTTTGTAGTGCAGCAAATTATAAACAGCAACCTCCTGTTCCTGGTTACCGATGCTGTTTGTGACTGCAGCATCTTCCCGCCAGTTCTTCTGCTCCCTAAAGAAGTCAAATATATCCTTTTGTTTGCAAAGGCTGTACTGAACTCTATAGCTGTTTGGCTTTTAAGTTCTCAATTGTCAATAGATTTAGAGACAGAGTTGGCTCTTAGAGGAAGTGAAAGTACAACACATTTTCTAGTGAAAAGCATGTTTTGCAAGTGTTTGCTGTTACTGAATGTTGTTTAAATATGCATAGGTAACTTTGTTGACCATAAGAGAGATTCCAAATTCTATGTTGTAGTTTCTTCATTAGGTAGGCCAACCAGAAGTTAACAAAAGTCTTGGTGCTAGCCTTTGGAACCTAGTTCTTTCGCCAGGTAAATATGTTGTTTTAAATATCATACAGGGAAAAGGAGGGAGAGTAAAAAATCACAGTATACATCTTGTTTGAGATCCCGAATGGAACATGTAGCTTTGATTCTGCAGCTATGGATCCATCTCTTGATCTAACCGTTCCCAAATCCACCTTAAAAGCCAGGCAGCGATACCAACTGAAGTACTTCTACAATGCCGTTAAGTGCAGCACTGAAGGAAGAGGAGGATGGAGAGAATGATCATGATATTTAATGTATTGTCGAAGGCTTCCATGACCGGAATCACTGGGTTGTTGTAGGTTTTTTCGGGCTATATGGCCATGGTCTTAGAGGCATTCTCTCCTGACGTTTCACCTGCATCTATGGCAAGCATCTCACTACCTCTCACTACCTCTGAGGATGCTTGCCATAGATGCAGGTGAAATGTCAGGAGAGAATGCCTCTAGACCATGGCCATATAGCCCGAAAAAACCTACAACAACCTATCATGATATTTATTTCTTACCCGTTTCTTACTGTGGATCGAGGTATGAAACAACAGATTAAAATTCGTGATGCGTCTTTCCTCCTTCCCTTCCAGCAAGCAATGGTGCAACAAACAGAGGTCGAGACCCCTGCAGGGTCCTGGCAAACTACTCCTGACACTTAAAATCACTGATGACATTACCCTTCAATGCTGGAAGCATCATCCTTCAATGCACCCATTCACCAGCACTGAACTGTTTGCTGTGCTCTCTTGATTTTGAAGTAGTTTTCAGGAGGCATTAATAATAGTGGCAATGTGTTGTCGAAGGCTTTCATGGCCAGAATCACTGTGTTGCTGTGAGTTTTCCAGGCTGTATGGCTATGTTCCAGAAGCATTCTCTCCTGACGTTTCACCCAGGCATCCTCAGAGGTTGTGAGGTCTGTTGGAAACTAGGCAAGTGAGGTTTTTGTATCTGGAATACATAAACCTCACTTGCCTAGTTTCCAACAGACCTCACAACCCCCGAGGATGCTTGCCATAGATGTGGGTGAAACGTCAGGAGTGAATGCTTCTGGAACATGGCCATACAACCCAGAAAGCTCAGAGCAGCCCTATAGTAACAATGCTTCTACAATCGTAGATATGACCTTCAAAATTTCAGCGTTGTAAGTTGAGCTTAAATCATCATACATGATGCCCAACATGCCAGTTGTCTTTAATTGACTTTTCCTTGTTGAGAAGAAAAGTGCATGAAATAGCAAGTGAGGTTCCACAAATCATGACCCTAATGGCACATAGTCACAAGAAAGAAAAAAATAACCATTGAAGTGGAGCTGTATATTTGGATCTGTTTCAGAATATTAAGTGTTCCTCTGGAAATTGAAACCCATTACACATTTTTGTCTTTTCTAGATTTCCTGTACTTAACATAAGAAACTGAAAAAAATGGGAGAGTAACATTGAACGCAAGAGCTGGCAAATCAGATATGATAAAGTTCCCTGGCCTTTCAATGTGTTTACTCGTGGCTTCCTTCAGTTGGGTTATGGCTTATTAAGTGTGATGGCTACTTATGCAAGCTCACATGGTACACAGCCACACAAGACAGCTCCTGTCCAATTAAAGTCTGATTGACATCAGCAGAACAAGTGAGTTGTGACTAACTTAAGTCCCATTGGTTTCAATAAACTCTAAGTATTATTTGTATTTAGTCAAGCTTACAGACTTCAGCTGATCTCAGCAGTAAGCACATACATGCCAGATGTGACTTAAATATTTGAGAAACACCTTTCCTCTGGAGGCACTGCCCACCTGTTTGCTCTAGTTTCAGTCCAGATTTATTGCCTCTGCTATACATGTTGTGTAATACATACCTATTGCTCCATGTGAGCAGAGGGCTCCTCCCTCAGGGGAAGTTCTGTCCATGAACTGGAAATGTATTTACTTGGGTATTTCCATACACCTAGCTGAACACTGAATGCCTTGGGTGATAGTATTGCAATTTCCCCTTACGGAATTTAATGAAGGGCTGTTAATGTCTTCTCCATTTTCCACAGTTGCTCTTAACCTTAACAGCAATGTACATAATGCCTCAGTAAAATGTGACAGGATGCGCTCCCAGAAGCTGAGACGACGACCAGATAGCTGCCATGCATTTCATCCCGAGGTAGGAAAAGACTTGTTACATTTGACGAAGTACAGTCTGTCCCAACACAGCTACAGTAACATTAGCTATTAACTTAGGTAATACTTTGTAATTAAGATATTATCATTTCCTTATAACCGTGCAAGAAGCTTGAGGAAACCTTTTGACTAAATGGTGGGATACAAATGCTTTAATCATTAAGCATTTGTATATTGTTGTTGTTGTTGTTGTTAGTAGTAGTAGTAGTAGTAGTAGTAGTACTACAATCATCTATATAAAATGGTAATGTTCGTTTGTGGGATTAACATAACTCAAAAACCACTGGACTAATTGACACCAAATTTGGACACAACGCACATAGCAGGCCAACGAGTGACCATCACTCATAAAAACACTAAAAAACACAGCATAAAAGACTTAAAAGCCAACCCCCCCCAAAAAAAATACATTACAACACATGCACAAAACCACACACACACACATATACACACACACACATACATGCAAACACACATATACACAAATATAGACACACATATATACACACACAAAACACATATACACAGACTGGGCCACAGCAACGTGTGGCAGGGGACAGCTAGTAATAAATAAATCTATATAAATAAAAATGTAATATTCGGTGGGATTAACATAACTCAAAAACGACTGGACTAATTGACACCAAATTTGGACACAATGCAGATATCAGGCCAACAAGTGACCATCACTCATAAAAACACTGAAAAATACGGCATAAAAGACTTAAAAGCAAAAAAACCTCCACAAAAATACATTACAACACATGCACAAAACCACACACACATATATATATATGCAAACACACATATACACACATATATATATACACACAGAGAGAGAGACTGGGCCACAGCAACACGTGGCAGGGGACAGCTAGTAATAAATAAATCTATATAAATAAAAATGTAATATTCAGTGGGATTAACATAACTCAAAAACCACTGGGTGAACTGACACCAAATATGGACACAATACACCTATCAGGCCAATGAGTGACCATCACTCATAAACACTGAAAAACACAGCGGAAGAGACTTAAAAAGCCAAAAAATAAAATAAAAATACATTACATTACAACATATGCACATAACCACATAAATACACATATACAAAAATATATATACACACAGAAAACACATATACACAGACTGGGCCACAGCAATGCATGGCAAGGGACGGCTAGTAAAGTAATAAAAAGACAACTGGGAGGAACATTTTCAGATTTTAGTAGAAAGGAAGGAGGGAAATCTGTAGAAGCCAATATAATTACACCTTTTGTGAAGGGCAAATTTGCTTCTTCATGGCTGCAACCTCACTAAGATTAATGTGGCTCACGGACTGGTTAACAGTCTCTTTTATTCAAGGTTATGGAGGTGTTGTATCAGTACATTATGCCCCAGTATGAGCTCAGAAGGAAATAAAGTGAAGACATAGGCAGTAAGAAAGTTTACAGCTGTTTTCCTGTGGATGCTGTCCTTCATGCCATATGCTACTAGCAGCTTCGTGTGAAGGCATACTGGTCCTGATGCTTGGATGCTTTCTGTGGCCAGTTTCCTATTCAGAGTTCAAGCTATTCAGCTATTGGAGCAGGTCTTAGGCAAGACAGAGAGGCGCTGCCCTGAGGCAAAGTAAATCCTTCTACTTTCTCCCTGCAAGTCAATTACTACTGCCATATTATGGTGCTTTCTGGCACTGGTATCCTTCTTATGCAAGATTATTAAAGTCTATTACCTTTATTTCCCTGAATATTTTAGGAAAATGCACAGGACTGCGGAGGGGCAGCAGAGATTTCTGCTTCATTGAACTTACTGCTTCTTCCTCTTGGAGCCACAGCTCTTCTCCTGCGATGACAGCATCCATCATTGCCCAATTCAGAGGCAAAAACTTATAGACCATGGTATTCTAAAGCAAAATCTACTTGGGTGTTTATTTGGTTATTGCACATGTGCTGAGGACAAAATAAGTGGTCCATTCGCTATATGAATTATAGCCTTCCCAAAGTTTGTGTTGCCTTTGCTGCTGAGGCAACTACAAGAAGCATGGCACTTAGATCGAGACATTGTGCCAATTGGAGCGAACACTGTAATCTTCTTACATGATCTAGATCACAGATGACCATCCAGTCCTCAGCAGAATAGAGACATTTACACAGAATCTCTGAAGATGACCAATTCTTGCCAGAATGGATGGATTTTTATTCTGCCATTTATAGTACAGTGGCTTTCCCTGCAACAACAGAAGAAGAGGTACAGACTTCATACTGCTACCTGCATGCAACTTGTTTGAGCAGCACTATTTGGATATATCTCACCCTGATGAAGGCAGTGGACCAATTTTGTTCCCAAAGTAATTTCTCTGATTTGGCAACCAGCAATGGATTTGCACTGTGGCTATCAAAGAGCTGGAGAACAAAGTTGCCAGGCCATACAGCAGAAGGAAGTTGCTGCAGGTGCTGGTTCTGCAACTATGGAGCCTCATGATTGGTCACTATGATTTCAGCTGCTTGATCTATGACACTCTAAATGGAATTCTTTCCAGGACTGGCATATTTTTTGATATCAGTGCATATAATGTTTATAGTATGGTATAAAAAAAAGATACTAGTATGGTATAAAAAAAAAACCCTCTGTTCTACTTTCAAGAGTCATAAAATACTGGTTGGGCCCTCTTTCTTTTAAGCTGTTGAAATTTCCAGTCTGGGCCTATCAATGTTCCTAGAATCCATTATCTCTCAAAGTTTCTGACAAGTTCCATTCTATGGATCACACAATAACAGCTTTAAACGTGGTTATTAGGCCTGGGTAACAACGGAAAAATTTGTTTCTAAAATCGATTTGTATTTGGGGGATTTTTTTGTTTCGATATTTAAAATAATTACAAAATTTTCCTTTTAAAAAGTTCGATATTTACGAAATTTCGTAAATGGTAAAAAATTAATGAATCGATTTCCGGAACAATAACGAATCGATTCGTTAATGGCGGACGCGACCGCGAAATACGCTAAAAAACCTCCAAAACCTTCTGAAGCTTCCCTCTCCCTCTGTTGTTGACTGTTGGTGTGATATTATAATTTTTTTTCACTAATTAAACCATAAAACTGGCCCAGACATGCGGAAATAATAACGAAACGACCTCAAAACAATAACGAAACGAATACAATATCGAAATACGAAGCATTTACAAAACATTTTTGAAAATTCTTTTTTTTTTAATAATTGCTCCAGAATGGTTCGTTATCGTTTTGTAATTGAAAAAATTAACGAATTATTAACGAATTACGAATTAACGAAACGAAACCGCCCAGCCCTAGTGGTTATACTGATCTAATATTATGGAGCTAACAATGGTTTGACATTTGAAACAATCTGAAAATAGATTGGGGGAAAGTCAACAGATGTGGATCCAGATTTAATCCCGGAGTCTCGTCTTCTTGGCCATTTTTTTCTGAAGACTGCATGGATAGGCAGGCTGCAGGAATGGGCATGTATGGCAGTTTTCTTCCTGTAGGATCTGCCAAACACTGCCAAAACGCCAGTGGGAGGAACAAATCCAGAAGTACCCAAACCACCTCTGGGTTCGAAAAACTGGTGATTTGTAATGCTCCATGGAGAAGGGCAATTCTGCTAACTTTATGTAAACTCAAACTTCTGAAGGCTTCAAAAAGAGGGTCACTTTGTTGCCAGAAAAATGGTCTGAGGACTCTGGAGAGGCTGCATTTTGCCCTTCTACTGCAAAGTCTTTTCAAGGAGGGGATTGCAAACACCCAAAGGCCTAAATTGTGTTGTGTCCTAACTTGAGTAGACCCATTCAATTAGTGGGATTGACTTCTGTATTAACTTACCATTCAACAATTTGTTGAATGGGCCTATTCCAGTTGGAATTAACAGGATGCCAGCCAGAGAGTGACGTACAGTACCAAACGGTATTTCAATGTCTGAAAGCCATTATGCCTTATGAGAGGATGTGAGGGAAACCTTGATCAGATTAAAATCTTGTCTGTTTCTCAGGAGTCTTAGTGCCAGTGCTGGGTCACTGACCAAAAATTAGGACAGCCAAACAGCAGATACTCGTATCATAAAAATCTCAAAAGTTTCTCATCCTCTGAACAGGACGACGCTACTTCCTAGAACGTAATTACTGAATGGCTTGCTTAAACTTGTTTGACGGTACTAGAATCTCAATCCCCAAAAGATTGTCTACACAGGAAATTGTTGGGCTTTGGGAGGGAGGTTGTAAAATTATTCGTAACATGGCTTTTTTAAAAAATATAGCATTTTCACTACAACTTTTGTGTCTTTTTTCATGTATGGTGTAACATGATATGTCTCAAGACCTTTACCTTTAGCCAAAAATGGAACAACATTGATTTTTATCTCATACTTCCATTATTTCCACCTAGATGTAGTTTGACATGATTCACACTATGGCTTACATAATAGAACTCTTTATAGATTCAAGTCAAATCATGCAACATCCCTCTTACTTAAATTCTAATCTAGCCATCTCAATCACATTGACGAATATATCAACCCCATCCTAGAAGAAGAAAAAAACACCAAGCCTTCATTGCATTTCTTCTTTTTATTAGAAGTCAATAATACAACAAGGAATGAGATCCCATTGCCTGGAGACCCCAATCTTCAGAGTCCAAGATGTGCTTTGTTGCCTCCAACAGTAAGCAATTTTTAAAAAACAAAATACTGAACAAGGCCACTAGTTAATGGGGGGAGCTGAAAATCTCAACTATATTATGCTGAAAACCTGCACACACAGAAACAGAAAGCAAGCCAACCTCCAGCTGCTGAGAATAAGGCAGTCAGGTGCCAACCTGGGAAGAAGTCTCAGCAAGCACCCATAAAAGTGCACAGCTAAGCATTATTTTTTTCAAAAATAGGGATACAAAATGTCCTAAACAGAAACCAATGAGGATTGAGAACAGCAAGTGGGGTGTTGTGTTTTTGTACATGTTATGTGCTGTCAGACCAGGCTATAAAACCCCCTTTATAAGAGTGAACATGAGAAGATCCAGAATAAAGAGATGCAGCTTTTGCTGGTACATACAGAGGTACTCCCCCTCACACGCACACACGTGAAAAAGTGCTTTTCAGACAGGTAGGTTTGGGTCTGATATGTATTCAACTAACATCCCTCATTATGTAAGCCATCCTTCTGCAAACTGGCTGCATAAGCCCTTTGAGAGGTTTCAATCATCACTGCACTCCATTTTACGGAAGAGTTTCAATTAATACTGTTCTTTTTTTTTATTTGGGGAGAAAAAGCCCCAACATATTTGAGTACCATTCTGGTCTATGCATTCAACATTGTGATCCTACCTAGAACACACACACACACACACACACAGAGAAGTTGCCTACAAGCACCAATTAAGCACCTCTTGTAGGTCTAAAGATTTCAAAAAGTCTATTTGGAGGGAGTAAAGTTAGAAGAATCCATTCCAGAAGGGACTGAAAGACTTTTGCTGTGATGATCCCAAGTAGTATTAAAATGTGACCAATTCTACCATCTTACAAATGAAAAAAAAATATCTTGATACCTTTTCTACTATGAACAAAAGCAGTTGTCCTTAGCATGAGATAAACCCATACTCTATGTTTTGCCTCAAAGCTTGTTTTCAAATCCAACAGGCCACATCAGTCCCAGCAAGAAGTAATAACTACATTTCTCACTTGCCTGACTGAGTATTGCTTAATAAATAATTCTCTTCATAGATGTACTTCTGACCTTAGTGAAGCTTTCAGAGAAAAACGGGAAGGAACTAACAAAAATCATGTAGGCTTTGTGTAGTATTTTAACAAAGACAAAATCTTTTTACATCCAAGAATACTTCTGTGGGCTTTTTAATTTTATTTTTGTTAAAAAGAAGTGCACAGGGCCGTCCTTGATACCAAAAGGGAGAGGAGGAATGACAATGTTACACTGGGGGCAAATGGAGTTATGTGGATTTAATACAGGCAACCTTAGTGCTATTGTAATTCAGCAGCACATACAATAATCCAAAACAGGTTTAACAGCCAACCAGTCCTCTTCCTTCAAGCACACATCTCCTTTCTGGTATATTCCTCTGGGCCCTTTGAGACAATTTCTTACTTGCTCACCTAGAAGGAAGGTGCCTGACCCTCACAATTGCACTTGGATAAAGGGAACAGCAGGCTCTGGTGAAACACCGACAACCAACCCTCCCACGAGGTCAGGATATATACCACACTGAAACTCAAAGCAGGAAATGACTGTTGAAAGAAAGACGACCTAACAATATTCCACACACACACACAAAAACAAAGGTCCCAGAAAATCTGCCTGCAAAGGGAATGAGTTCAGATGCCCAGTGCCTCCTCTGCCTTTGCCTTCTGAACACACAGAGGCCCCAAAAGCAGCCTAATTAAATGGTTAAGTGTCCATTTGCTCCCAACCCTGTGTGTAAACAAAACCTATTGGGGTAAGCTGCCCTATATATACCAGCACTAGAGGGAACCTACGGATCCTGATGCTGACCCTACAGGGGTTTCACCTGGCCTTCTTGCACTTAAAAAGTCAGTGCAAAATTGAAACAGTGTGTGGCAATTGCATGTTGTAATCTATACAAAACCCTCTCTTCTCCCCTCCCCCAATTTTTAAAACATTTATATAAACTTTTCAATTCAACAGAAAGTTAGAAATCTTATATACATTTTGTCTCCCAAAAGATTATCTAAAAATCAACTTACCTGAACAAGATACAAGTCTTAAGCTAGATTTCTTTTAAATGAAAAAAAATCACTAAGCCACCTCCCCATAACAACCTCTTTTGTTTTCTACAAATAAATATGGCATTGAATGGAAGCTGCTGAAGAAAGGACTTTCTGTAGCTTAGGCTGTAGATCCAAAGAATAAGTTAAGCGTTTAAGAATTTCCAGATTTTCAGAATCAATTCACTCCAATGCTTGAGGTATGAATTCTCTTCCATTTTATAGTTCAATTTCCCACAAAAGCTACCACACCACTCCAGGCAAGGCGTTGCCTCACTGTTCCCACTGTTCTCTTTTGGTTATGATGCTTGACACAGGACCAGTTCTAGAGCATCTCATCTTCTGAGCAGCCTCCCCCAACGGTGAAACGGAACTCCTGAAGGTTGGAAACACCATGGAAGTGCACAAACGCACCAGCCACTACAAACACATGGAAGAGCTGATGGGAATGGAACTATAGGAAAAGAAAGCAGAGCAGTGGATCACCATAGAGAACAAGCATCTCCTACTTTACAGAAAAAGCATCTCAGAATCATGGTGCTTTGGACTAGTAGCAGCAATGACCGCATAGTACTGGCCTGCAAAAAAAGCTACCAGTTTGATTTCTAAATAACAATGCAAATTCCCCATGCAAGCGCCTGGAGCACCATTTAAACCTTCCCAACCTTGGTCAAGTTCGCATAACCATCTGGAGAACAAGAAAAGTGTGCACAGCTTCATCAGTTCTGTATCAGAATAGTACTGATTTTGCAGTTGTACACTGTTCCACTTCCTCAGCCAGATATGCCAAGACAGGAACAGTGCAAATGTTTTTCATTGCTGCAAAGCCCAAGATGAAAAGGCTGCCACATTTTGTTAGGTGTCAGTGTTAGCAGCTGCACAACTGGGCTCCACTTTTGCCTAAAACTGAGCAACTGGAAGACAATTTCAGAGTTGTAGTGTTGTTTCTGTTGCCTGCCACAGACCTTCAGCTGTTTTGATCCATCACTGGGTGCCTCTCCCCCTCTTTGTGTTGTATACCTGGCACCTATCAGCCATACTTACCCAGATGTCACACTTCCCCGGGAAGAATCTCTCCGGGATACGAGCAGCATACAGTGCAGCGCCAGTGATATAGAGGCAGGCCATGAGTGCCAGCCACCCTATCTGCCCCATTGTGGCAGCCTTAAGGAGCCCTTCCGAGATGACAAAATGCAGGGTGGGGATGACCCCACTAAGGCCCAGAGCCAGAAACACGCCTAGAAGATAATAAGGGAAGTGTGACAGTTTCAGCCATGGAGACAAGAAAACCAGAGGGAGAAATGAGGGCACTCTGCCAGCACTTAGGATCCCAACGCAAAATCATGAGGGCTTCTGGTTTCATCTCTGTTTGTTTGTTTGTTTACCTGATCACGTTTACTAGTTAAAATTGAAATTCTGATCAGCTAAAGAGGTGCCCTGATCAAACTGATAGTAGGCATCATATCAGAAGAGTCATTCTCCCTTCCACCACAAGCAAAAGGCAATGAATACTTAAAGAAATTGGGCTGGGAGTGTTCAACCATGAATTACAACTACCACTATAATATGCTCCCTCTTCTTCTCCTCCAGCACAGCTAAGAAGAGAACAACTTAGGCAGAGGGCATTTTCACTTATCAATACTCATTAAATCTGATATGTTATAGTGATCACATGTGTTTGTTTAGAACCAATTAGAACCGGTTTATAAGCCAACTTTAATTGTTAAGTTATGAAGCTAGTGTTGTTAACTAATTGAAGTTTGTTTTAAAGCCACGAAATGACAAACCAGACTAGGCAGGAAGGGAAACTAATAATCATACCAGAGGAGTAAATGGGTACAATGTTGATGAACATACTGGTAAATTAAGTTCAATCTGTGCATGTACTAGTAATCCATGGTTTAAGATTGTGTAGGAACACAACCAATGAGTTCTACATACAAAACATATATAACTGCCTAAACACAAAGTATTTTTCTCCCCAAAAATAATTTTTTTACAAGAGTGTAATAACCCAGAACAGCAAAAATTAGTACATAAACCTAGGATTTCTTTAATCAGGCAAAATTGTATGCATTGCAAAACACACACACAGAGACAGCATATTACTGGACTATAATTATCCCAAGATTACTACTGTACCAAGTAAGTTCATAAATATACTGAATGCAAGCCAGAAAACAAAGAATTATTGTCAGTAACCCATAAGAGGCCTTTACATCCTACTCTCAAAGAAAGATAATCACTGCAGTCATTCATGGAAACAAACTTTGAAGGCACTTGTCTGTTTCACTCCAGGATCTGAACTGAGAAATCACAGAAGATATTAAAATGCTAAATATTTGGGCAATACCTACAGTATAATTTGCCTACTACACATCTTTTCTTTAGGTAATTTGTATCATTGTAATTTAGAGCTTCCTGAAACATTCCAAACCACTGGGAGGCAACTCACATTTTACCACATGAATTTAGCAGGAGGTAGATGTTCCTCCATACCCTTCAATCAATCCCTCTTCTTCTCAAGTCCCACACAAACTGTACAGAGAGTCTCTCAGGAGTTCTTCCTGTGCACTGCAAATGTGAGTTATGCAAATCACTATTCCAGGTATGCCTCCTGGCTGGGAGGGCAACACAGATATGCAGCAAGAGGACTCCACTCTCTGGACTGATAATCCTGTTGACTCTGCCCTGGCATATATCAATAATGTATACATCTGTATTGCAGAAAGGTGGCAGGACTATGCCTCGATACTGTCATAAGGTGTAGAAGATGGATAGAAGGACCAACATAACAGCAGATATGTACAGAGATATAGTACATCACTTCCCCTAGGAATGGATTCTATCAACCCTTTTAAGCCCTTACTTTCTTGCAGCATGCTAACAGTTCTTAGAGCAGACAGTTTGGGAATAATTGCACTAATATAGGTGCATCTTCTTTGTTTCTGAAAACCTATTTTTGCACTAAATTATTCCCCCTTGGGAAAACAATCTTCCCATAATACATACTCATTAATATTATGAAAATAAAGACCAAGATATGTGCATGGATGATTTTCACTAACTGCACCCGTCACATATTACAGCCAGGTTCTTGTGCTTATTGCCATAATCTGCCGTCTAATAAGCTCTACAATTTCACCATAAAGAAAAAAGATGCAAAGTAAGCATGTATAATACAACAATACTGTGTGGCATTGTGAAATACTAATGGGAACACTGTTGCACAAGTGTGCATGTCAACAGATGAAGCAGGTGTTACCTAGAACTGGCATATTTTCTCAAAACAAATATATACATTATCATGCTTTTTTGTTGTTTTTAAGAGGCCACAAAACTGTCACAGAAGGACAGACACAGCTACCTCTTTGGAATCCAAAATCAAATTGAATCAACTATTTACTAATATCAAAAATTCTGCTACACCAGGGTTGGGGAGCTATTAGAGTTTGGGACACTTATACAAAAATTGAAAAAAAATATTTTTGACTCCAATGCCTACATTATTTCCTGTTGGAAAACAATTTCTCTTCAGGCCCAAAAACTACCCTGGGTCCACCAAAAACAGGGCAAAATTACCCTCCGTGACCCACAAACATTAGTTGAAAAACTGGATTTTAAAGACAGCAACACCTGTGTGAAGTCTAGCATTTCAATCCAATCCAGCTGATTAAACTTTCAAACAAAACCACTTCCTGTATATCTAGATGTGGTAAACCATGTCAAAACTATGAATCTTACCTGCTCGAAATCCTCGGTACTGAGGTGTAGCAAATCTGTCCCACTGGGAAACTATAATGGCTGCGATGCCCAGAACACAGATCACAATCAAGTAGATAAAATAGGGCTGAGGGTTGCAGTAGAATGAGTAATACAGCCATGGAACAAAGCTGCCCATAATGAGGAGAGCAATGCCAGAATAGTCTAACCTAAGGCAGAGGGAAACAGAAATGAATCTGGAAGCTCCCGCTTTTCATTCCTCTTACCTAAGAGCCTGTCTTCCAGCCCACTTCTACAGCATAGAATAGTCTCGGGGAATTATGGGACTAATAGTAGCAAAAATTACCACAGTAGGAAGGCTGATTATGCTAACACAGAATAACCCCTGTATCCACAGGGATACGTTCCCAAGCTTATTGTGGAAATAAGAAACCGTGTATAATAGCAAAACCTATTGAAATGAATTACTTCTGCCAGAAGTGAACAGAGTGTCACTCTGGAGGACTAGAAAATTCATAGAGAGGTGCTCCAGTGTGACTTTATAGTAAACACCTGGCAGAAGCATACCACAGAATTGCCTGGAGAAGATAGAAAATTCCTATAGAGGACATTTTTGTTAGATGCAGGTGAATACCAGTCTCGCAGCTACAAAGGTCATGCTGTATTCATTTTCCACCTTGGTGCCAAACAACTAAACATTTTGAAAATTGCATTTTCCAAAGTGCTTCACATATATTCAATCAGCAATCTTTAAAAGAACCCCCTTCAACAATTGGGTGTGATGGATACTTTGGGAGGCTGTTTACCTATTAAGCCTCAACCATCAATCATAAGTTCTTTACAGAGGTGAGATTTCAATTATGGATCTTCAGATTCAAAACTCACACTGAGAGTCTATTACACTTACTTGGAGAAGACCCTCGAGACACCTTCTGAATGGCAGTAAACTGTGTGAAACAGCCATGAGAAGGAGAGGCAGAGGATGGCTCCCAAGAAGAACACTCCAACCACCACCTTCTCTTGCAAAGGTGCTACAAAAGTCATGTTTGGCCGGAACATGTAGAAGATTCCCAGACACAGAAAGAAAACACAACCTAGGCAAAGAAAAACAAGGTTATGAGAGCAATCCCAATGTAAGAGGGCAAAGAGAACTCAATACACAAAAATAATCATATTGTAGAAAAATCTGTTACATTTGCCTCCACAGACTGGGGATCCTGCACTTCCTTACTTTATGTACATATTTTATTTAGTGCCTCAACTTTCTCTTGGCACAACATCTAAGATGGCTCACCAGCATCATCAACAAGGTGCAGTTAAAATTATTAATGCAAACATTAAGAGAAACAAATAATCAATCTAAAACAAGTTAAAAAAATAGATTTTAAAAATAGAAACACAACAAACACGTGCCCATCGTAAGTTCCACTGATCACTCAGGGATTTCACAACTTCTTATACACATAGTTTTTCAGGTGTTACTGATGGCTAACTTCTATAAGCCCCAGCTGCTATGGATAGGTCTGCAGTTGTGGCCCATCATTCTTATGTGAGCCAACTAGGTCCATCTCTGTGACTTCTATTTTGCCCTAAAATGGCCTTGAATACACTATAGTGATCATGGGGAGACATTTTCACTATGGCAGGACTGGACCTTTATAGGGTCAGGAGACGTCTTTTTAAGAAACAGGAAATTGTTTTCTAAAGGTTTATTTATCTTGGGCCTTAAAAACTGAAGAACTAACAACATCTATAAGATGCCCCACATACAACAATGAAATGCACCACACCATCTTGAGGTAACTGGGGCATCTGAGGTGAAAAAAACAAACATTTTAATTGGATTGCAATAGAGAAGGAGAAACCCTCCAAGGCCTACTAGTGGTGTATGTGGCCCTTGTTGCTCCCACAGTTACCCATCCCATTGTAGACCGAGGGAAGGCAACTAGTACCTCCAGATGTTTTTTTGTATAGGTCTCTCAAGTTAATTGTGTGTGTGGAATGATTTGCTTCTACTGCTGATTTTATTTGAGTGTTTAGTTTGTAAATCAAACTATTCCCCACTGCAGGCTTACTTTCAGGTGAAAAATAGGAAGTGGCAACAGTATGAACACCTAAAGATGGCAGATCTTGTCTGATCTTGAAAACTAAAGATTGTTGGTCCTAGTTAGTATTTGGATGGGAGAGTATCAACAAATACCAGTTGCTGTAGGGTGTGTTTTAGAGGAAGAAACTGGTAAAACCATCTCTGAGTATTCCCTGTCTAAGAAAGTACCGTGAAATTTGTAAGTGGACATGCAACCTGAAATGCTGAAAGGGTTTAAACTACAAAAATCAATCTGTTTTGGGGCCAGCCTTTATAAGGTAAGAAGTTTACTTTGTGAGTCTACTGCTCGGCCCAACCAGAACTAAGGAAGAGCGGGTGCAATGCCAGCCCCATTCACAGCTGAGGAAGTGGCCTTATTCCTTTCTTTCCTTTCTTCTTTCTTTCTCTTCCATTTCCTTCCCTCCCCACATTCTGTACCACCACTAATAAAGCAATGGCCAGAAAAACAAGTATTTGTGGTGTCCATGTTCTTCCCACAGAAAATTGTACATGCTGCATATTCTAAAAGTTTTTAAGAACAGTGAAAAATTATAGGCTCACCTCTCTGGTTGAACCATCCCTAAAATCGAAAAGCTAACAATGAATATTTATAATAAATATCATTAGAAAATGTATTCCATTTAGTCATAAAAGATAATAGCACTTTTAATATTTATACGAAGTTTGATACCTAGTAGGTGTGTCCAGATGTTGCCAGTCTCTGTATGTATTCTGAATATGCTTTTGAAGCAAGCCCGGAAAGAGGGCATGGGTGGTCGATGCCCATGTAACAGGTAGTCATTATCCTTTAGCCAATCAGGCAAGACGTCAAAGGGAATAACACGCCACCGACCCTCCCATACCTAAAAAGGAGGAATAAGTAGATATATTAAATCTTCAATCTCTACCATTCCAAGATTTCCATGGTATAATTCTAGAAGATAAAAAGAGGTGTTCCAAAGAATGGTTTAGCCACCACACAAATATACACAACCCACAGCAATTATGTTATTTAAAATTTATTTAGCCTTATCTGAAGCTATTTTTGTAGGGACAAACATGGGAGGGGAGGATGAGAGAGAGTAGGAAAAAAACAAGCAGTTCTTTAACGTGGCTGATTTTCATCTTCTTTTACAGTAAAGAATCTCTGGAATGACTGTGAAGCAGGCTTCTGAATGCTGAAGAAACCAATTTAATCCAAGAGCACAAAACCAATTAGTAATGCAATCAGTCATGACTGGGCATCTTTCAAGCACGTCAGTTATAAGGAAAGCCTAGTACTATGTTAGTCAAGACTCTGACTTGACAAACCCTCTATGATTACTAAATGCTGTGGGTGAAGTACCTTCCAATTGCATTGGAAAGTCCAACACAAACGGAGAGGATACAATGGAACTTCTCAATTCACTTCTTTAAAGAGTAGCTCAAGAGTACAAAGGAATGGGCATGCTAAGAAGTCCCTGACTGAAGCAAGAGTCTTCATGTATGCTGGAGATTCAGATGTATATTCTGAGTTCTCCTATGTGCTTCCAGAGCAGAGTGACCATGCTTTTGCTTGGTCAGAACATATTTCAGAGTTGTTTTTTTATGTACTCCACAGAGGCAAGAACAAACACCACAGCAAGAACACAGTTGTCAAAATGCATTATATCACCAGAATAGGTCAAAAGAGCACAAATACAAGAGCTTATCCACATACAAATACACAGGTTTAAAGCCTATGCCTATTGTGTTTTTCTAGAAACCCAAGATCCACCTGTATTTGAAAACCTGTGGCTCAAAAAATTATTATTTATTTATTTCGGACATTTGTATCCCATCCTATCTCGACCTCCGCAGAGGAACTCAGGGCAGCTAACAACTGGCACACCATGGTGCCCACAACCAAAAGCATAAATATACAATTTAAATAAAAACAATATAAAAACAGCATAAAAATATTCAACCATCGCCAATTTGAGTCATCATCCCAAAAGTAGTCCATCTTGGAATAAATGTGCATTTAAAATTAAATCACAATGAGTTTACAGTGCATCCTCATCCAGGGCCTTATTATCAGTAACAAAACTGAACTCAAGTCCTTTCCTGATTTTCCTCCAAGTTTTCTTCATTTCAGCAGTCTGATATGGGTTACAAAGCTGCTTTTTTTACCTCTAATTTGGAAATGCTTGTCATTTTCCTAAAAATTTGCCAAAAACCTATCAGTACATCCTGACAAACCTTTTGCATATCCCTATACTATCAACTTAAATTGGATTAGCGGTGACACAAATGTCAGCCCAGGATCAATTTACTTCTGTACAGAGTTACAATCCTGCTTAATTAAACAACACTGCCATGGAAAGGAAACAGACATTCCATTTCATAGGCAAATATCTAAGATTTAAGTCTAAAAACAAAATATTAATGCAAAAATATATGTTACTATGTATTCCTGATCATTAGGATTCACAGTGTAGGTATACACTTAGGATATGAAAGCAAGGATTATACTGTTCTACAAATTTTCAGTTTTTCTCAGTTGCGGAAACGAAATGTGCCGTTTCTTAATAAATTTAACATGCTGAATTCAAATATAATAATTAAATGTGTTAATTGGCTCTGGTTTTTATGCAACAGATATTTCAATTTTCTCCACAATAGGTAATTCGTTAATATTATGATAATGCGCCTAACCTTACTGCATGTATATAAACCGTGAATATTTACTAAATTTTAGTCAAATTATATTGCCAATAGTTTATACATGAGAAATATTTATTTAATTCGTCTATTGTTTATGTTTGTGCAGCAAGAAACTATATTAGTAGGCCTAATGCAGTTGAAAAGTCTGAAAGTTTAAATGTCGCTTTAATCGTGACTTTAGTTTATATCCTGTTTGCTTCTCTTGACTTTTCTTTTGTATTCAAGGAAAGGATTGTCTCTTACAATGCTCCAGCAGTAGTCTGACAGCATTGACGGAGTCCATTTACCTTGATATTTTTTTTCCATAGTGCTTTATTTACACACGTGCGAGGCATAACTACAGTAAAAAGAACAATGTAAAACGATGTTTAACGATACTGTCTCAGTCTTCAACTGACTGACCCTCACCGTTCAAAAGTCTGGCCTTATATAGGGCTTTCTGGCTTTTGCACACGGCACTAATACTGCATCATCAAACTTTCTAGAGTATTCTAGAATCTTCCATAGTGTAAGTCGCAACATGCATTTTTTCAACCATACGTGATTACGTGATTGCTTATATCATAAAAACTAGAGCCAATATACATTTTTAAATGTCATTTTCGTTTTCAGCACCCCAAAATCATAAAAGAACAGCTATTTTCAGGCCCGCAACTTTCTAGAATCTTCCATAGTGTAAGTCGCAACATGCATTTTTTCAACCATACGTGATCACATGATTGCTTATATCATAAAAACTAGAGCCAATATACATTTTTAAATGTCATTTTCGTTTTCAGCACCCCAAAATCATAAAAGAACAACTATTTTCAGGCCCGCAACTTTTTCTCCGTTGAACAGTGTTATCAGATCCAGATAGCACTCTTATGCAAGTAGAGGAGTTTGTGAATCATCAGCAAGAGCCACCCGAATGCCTATTACAAATCCTCTTGCTAAACTTCAAAACATTACTAATGTTTCTGTTAAACTTTCACCCATTTCAAGAACAGGCACAAATAAAAAGTAGCTCAAACCATCACTTTTCTAAACTGGGGCTTATCATAAACTGTACTGGATATCCTGGGTTGCCAGGGTCACCCTTCTAATGATGGATGGACAACATTTAAGCAAAAACAGAGAGTTTACTCTAGTTCTAATGTTGAAGTTAGCACCAGCAGCTAGACTTGAGTATGAACTATTCCCCTTTAAGTCAGCTAAGGAAAGTCAAGACCAGTAATATTTACACAGATCACAAAGGATTTATCCAGGGTGGAATTTCATTAGAACTTGCTTTTCCCCCACTTGGAAAGTGGATACAATGAGGCTACTACGCAAAGGAGATAAATGGTAATCCGAAAACAAAGATTTGCAAGGCCTGAAAGACAGAGTGTGGAAAAAAGATGACCTTGTAAATTAAAATTCTTTGACCCAGAAACACTAGAAGCTGAGAGTATTATTCTGCTTGGACTTCTACAGATGTTTCCAAAAAGAGACCCAACAATTGTACCATCATGTTTAATCCCACATTTCAACATGTAATCCCTATCGTGCTAAACTTTCTAATTCATCCAATTATGGGAGGCCCACAGTCTTCCCGCAACACACATAGAGTGACAGAATCACTCAAGACAAGAAAATGCCTTGGCGGCCACCCAGTATGGCTTGGCTCTTTTGTTGCCAAAAGTGCATGGGCTGCTAGTCACAGGCCCACCAGCTGCTTCATGTTCACCAGTGCACAGTGGCTTCTGCTTGCAACCTCTTACCTTAAATACAAACTCTTCCATTCTTTCCATGGCATGGTGTGCTTGGAGAAGTGGCAGTCTCGCCATAAAGCCCTCATCTTCCTGTGTTGGACTGTTGCCTTCATCCTTATTAGAATGCTGAAACAAAATAAGTAAAGATGGCTAAGCAAAAACATGTTTAAGTGACTCAACACACAGTGGAAGTATTGAATGTGAAGCAAAAGAAGCATAAATATATATACACACAGAGAATCCACAAAAGACAGATTCTCTGGCCAGATGAAGAAATCTGTGACTGATGAGGCATAATAGGGCATAGCTTCCGCTCAATGCATGTAGCAAAGTTTTCCAATGAAGACAAAACCCTGGAAATTATAGGGTTAGTTTTAAAATGAAAGCAAAAGAAAGGCACACAGCATGAACATATTCTATTATCTCATATGTTTGCTTATTTGAGAAGAAATCCTAACAAAATACAATTTGCATTCACCTTTCCTTGGGAAATGCAGTTAAACTAAAATAATGTTCAGGAAAAATCAAAGATATGCTAAACATATTTGCTTTTTAATTAATCTTTGTTTTGCAGATACTGTATAAAGTGCCTTGTTCAAATTGTACATATTACACATTGGCCTATCTAGTCTAATACTGTCTAGCATACTTTAAACCAGACAGAGGTCGTTCTTCATCAAGCCAGTTGGAAACGATAAATAAAAATGCCAAGCATTTGATCTGGAACTTTCCACATGCAAAATATGTGGTCACAAAAATTATGTTGTTGAGTAACATCAATATTTCCATCTTATGATGACCAAAACACAACCCTAAGAATACCCTGAGGAGTTTTCTTCGCAAAATTTGTTAGATGAAGTTGCCTTTTGACTTCCTTTGAGACTGAGATCATGTGATTTGCCAAACGTCACTCAGTGGGTTTCCATAGCCTAACAGGGATTCTAATTCTGGGTTGCTGTGAGTTTTCCGAGCTGTGTGGTCATTTTCCAGAAGCATTCTCTCTTGACGTTTCGCCCACATCTATGGCAGGCATACTCAAAGGTTGTGAGGTCATACTGCCCGGAAAATTCACAGTAACCCAGTGATTCTGGCTAGGAAAGCCTTTGACACTTCTCATTCTCATCACCAGTCATAGTTAAATGCTCAAGCCACATTAACTTTTGAAGTTCAATTCGTACTTAACATTTCAGCCTCCTATTCATAAGAAACAAGTGCATCAATGCCAACACTTATCCTTCTTAATTACTGCTGGCTCATATCTAGTTTGCAAAAAAGAAAGAAGTTGAATATGTGCACGCCTATACTGCCACAAACTCCTCTCACATCCATTCTGCTCACAATTCTTTATTCAAATAGAACTAATTACTAATTTTAAAAGATACAAATAACTATGATAAACCCAATTTTCCCAGTTTCCAACAAACCTCACAATCTCTGAGGATGCCTGCCACAGATGCCGGCAAAATGTCAGGAGAGAATGCCCCTGGAACATGGTCATACAGCCCAAAAAACTTACAGCAACCCTGTGATTTTAGAGCCTTCAACAATACACACCAATCCAATTATGATATTATGTTCATGATAATTACTAATTAAACAAACATATAAATGTTTAATCATCAAAATATTTTAAGTAGTAAACTCAAAGGGAAAACATTATCAGTATAAGTTATCATATTTAGAGAACTATTATCTTGGATTCATTTACATCAGAGAAACCTAACTTGGCTTTTAACATACAATCTGACATGTTGCTCCTGCCTTTTGTTTATTAAAGACCACACTACGAGGGGAAAAAACAGATATAACTTTGTTTCATTAGCCATATGGCTATGAGGTCATAAATAGATATATCCTATATGTCCTTTTTTTTAGCAAAAAAAACTGCCATTTCTAGAAAGAAAGAAAAACAATGGCAATGAAACACAGCCTACTTTCATAGAGCTAGAAATGTTCCAAAGCTATAACAGAGAATCCATTATCTTGCAGCAGCAATGTGACTCTGGAAGCTGTTCATCTAATTGATCACAAGGATATTTTGAGTGACTGCCAAATGACTATATGGGTTTGTTCTAACTCTAAGGGACTCTGCAGCCTCATCACAATAGAGGTGAAGTGGGTAACATGTCCCTTTGCAAACATACCATCTGCATGCAGTTAATTACAATTCTCAACTCAAACACAAAAGAGAGCAGCCCTTCCTACTTTTTGCTAGATCCTCTTTTAAGTTTTATAATTTCTTAAGTATCAAAAGGTTAAAAATTGAATTTTCTCATAGTTTTCGGGAAGAAAATTAACTAATGGCTTTGTGCAGAAGGATATCAATACTTTGCAGCGATGATGTAAAGACTAGGAATTGGAACTCTAACAGTTGGTATTTTTCAGACCAATCAAGGTGCTTTCCTTTGGAGAGGTGAGAGCTACCACCTGTATTCTAGATCCTTGCCCTTCCTGGCTAATCAAACAGGCCAGATGCAGTCTGGTGAAGGTGGTGGTGGTCAACGCCTCCTTGGAACAAGGCAAAATTCCAACTTATCTAAAGGAGGCAGTTGTGAGGCCTATATTTAAAAAGTCATCCCTGAACCCCTCCAATAATGGACAATTATCAGCCAGCGCCCAACCTTCCATTTTTGAGCAAGGTTTTGGAGTGTGTGGTGGCCTCCCAACTCCAAGAATATCTGGATTGATTATCTAGATCCATTTAAATTTGGTTTCAGGCTTGACTATGGAATAGAAACAGCTTTGGTTAACTTGGTGGATTACCTACAAAGAGAGCTAGACAGGGAGAATCTGTCCCGATAAGTTGTCCTGGACCTCTCGGCAACTTTTGATACCATCCACCATGGTATCCTTCTGGGCCATCTTGCTGGGATAGGATAGAAGAAACTGTTTCACAGTAGCTCCATTCCTTCCTGGAGGGCTATACCCAAAAGGCCATTGTCCTGTGGGGTTCCTCGGAGTTTTGTTTTGTCCCCCATTCTATTTAACATATATATGAAACCAGTGGGAGAGGTCATCCAGAGTTTTTGAGTACAGTGCCACCTATATGCAGATGACACCTAACTCTACAACTCTTTCCAACCTAAAGCCAAGGAAGCTGTCCTGACTCTAAACCAGTGTCTGTCACAGTAATGGATTGAGTGAGAGCAAGCAAAATGCAACTTAATCCAGACAAGACAGAGGTGCTCCTGGTCAGTCAGAAGGCAGAACAGGGAATAGGGATCCAGTCTGTGCTGAATAGGGTTACAATCCCCCTTAAGACATAGGCCTGCAATTTAAGGGTTTTCTTATGCACCAACTGCTCCTGTTCCTTGAGAGGTCAGTTCTGGCCACTGTGGTACATTCCTTAGTTAAATCCTGTCTGAATTACTGTAATGCACTTTATGTAGGGCTGCCTTTGAATAGTGCTTGGAAACTTCAGCTGGTCCAAAGAATTGCAGCCTAGTTGCTAACTGGGGTTGGCAACAGGGAGCCAACAACCTCCTTGTTGTAGCAGCTACAGTGGCTGCCAGTTTGTTTCCAGGCACAATTCAAAGTGCTGGTTATGACCTTTAAAGTGGCTCAGGTCCAAGCTATTTGGCATCTCCTTGTACAAATCTGCCCTGGCCCTGAGATCTTCAGGAGAGGTCCTTCTCTCAGTCCCACCTTCACCTCAAGCTCAGTTGGTAGGAACAAGAGAGCAGGGCTTCTCGGCGCTGCCCCTCGGCTCTGGAACTCCCTGCCCAGGGAAGCCAGAATGGCCCCCTCCCTGCTGCTCTTCTGGTGGCAGGCTAAAATCTTTTTATTCAGGCAGGCTTTTAAAGGAGAAGTTTTTAAAATCAAGTCAAGGGTGCTGTGGTTTTCAGCTTTGAATATGTTTTTATGAATATTAACTGTGAATGTTGAAATGCCATTTACTATATATTTAATTCTGTTTTAATGTTTGTATATTTTTAGATTTTAAATTGTATTGAAATGCTTTTTATGTAAGCCACTTTGAGTCTCCTTTTAGAGAAGAAAAGTGGGGTATGAATAAACATCATAATCATCTTTTTAAATGGAGACACTTAAAAACAATATTTCCATTTTCACTAGTTATAACTACTAAACATTAACATTTTAGTAGAGAATTCATTTCCCTTACCTACTAAAGACTTGGAATCCAAGAAAATGGGAAAAAACAAAATTTAGGAAAGGAGTGAATAGGGATTGAGCTAAGACGGTCATTAAAATCAGAGAACTGGCTTGATGGAGAAGTGCCCAAGCCCATTATGGAATAAGAAGCAAGTCATTTGAAAGCAAAAATAAAAGCAAGTGATTGAAGAAAGGATAGCCAATCAATTATAGGTTTTGAGAAAGAACTACAGGGCTTTTTTTAAGTCAAAAGAGAACAAACTTGGTCAGTCAGATTTGGACATAAGAAACCATGTTATAGTCTTAATTTCAAAGATTTTTCCCTTTGTGCATTCATGACATGTCACTACAGATAGTCTGTTCAAGTTCAACAGCAATGCAATAGGAGGCAGTGTATCTACTTTATTTAGAAAATGAGAGCGAGAGAGGCATTCTGACACTGGGTTGGCTGAAGAATTGCACCTGCCCCAGAAAGCGTTCAAAAAGTCTTCCCCCACCTCTTTTGTCCATATGCTAATTCCAAAAGCAGCTGTGCATGAGACTGACAGGCAGCCTAGCATTTGACTTGCTAACTAAAACTATTCTGTGTGCAAATGAAAGACAGTTGCAAGGGGGAGGGGAAGGGGAGGAAATCAGAATTATGAAATACGCTGAAAGGAAAGATACGTAAAGGATACAAACTGTTTTTGACAGGCCAACAGTTGTTGAAATGTCTTTGCTAGTTCCCCTTCCTATTTGTGAACAAATGGGGAAAATGTGATCTGGGAGTAGGCATGCTTAATGTAGTTGGCTTTAAAATATTGCTACAGTGGGGGGGGAAGAAATCTGATTTTCAATCCCAACTCATATAGACTCACTGAATTAGTGGAACATAAATGTGTGTGTGGATTTACTGATTCAGTGGCTTTGCTATAGTTGCAGGATAGCAACTGGATTTAGGTTAACGTGGCTACTGGTATTTATCCTAGGACCACATATGCATCTCAGTGAGGAAAAGTTTACAGAACAGTCTT